AACGATGATTCACAGCCGTTGGGACCCTTAATTACCTATTTCCGAAGGGCCTTTTCAGGATCCCATCCTCGTCGCCACTGTTTCATTTAATGACCGGCTGACAGGACTCCGTCAGAAGTGTAACACCCAACCTTTATTAACTATTAGCAACGATGTATATGAACAGAACAAAACCCGCGCTTGACATCTCTTTTATACTAACCAGCTGACTATTAGAACCAATCAGCACTGAGCTTGCAATAACCAATAGGAAGCAGACTAAGGCCTCTAGAACTGTCTCAGCTTTGCATGCACTGGTGGAATACGTTGGAACTGAGATGGGCAGAGAGATAAGCAAGTTGGGGCATTTGCAGTATTTCTGCAGTTGAAAGGAAAGTGCCCAAATTTCCATCACATGACCATGGGGTTGTAACTTCAGGCAAAGGAAGTCTCTTTGTTCAGCACCATCGTAATTTTGAGCAGTCATTAAATGCATGGCTGTAAGTCAAAGACTAGTTGTATGTCCTTGCATTCAATTTATTGCTTCTTCATGTATTAACATCTTTTTTTTTCTCACATTGCAATTCTTTTCTAGGAAAGATTTGGGGAGGAAGTGGACAGGAAGGTGAGTCTTAATTAGACATGGATGGGGTGCTTCCTTGAGGAGTTCAAGGCCTGGAAAGGGAAAAAGAATAATTGAAGTGACATCTCTATCCTGTCTCTATCATTAGCCTATCCAAACCAGCTCTTCTGTGGGTATCAGGGAAGAGAAAATGTTCCCAGTCTGTATTATATGTAGAAAGAAGGATGACCCAATGTATCACAAGTTTTCTAATCATCAACTAGCATTAGGAAAAGCTACCAAAGATGTCTGCAGGCAAATTGTCCAGTTTATATGGTTTGCATCCTCCCTCATCTCCACAGCTGGGATTTTGATTCCAATATCAGGTATGAAAGACTCGGACCATACAAGAAGTTCCTATTAAACTGATTTATTACTCATGCATCTATGTACAGAGCTTCCCATACCCCAACTTTTTTTAGCTTATATTCAGATGCATACACTAATTTTATGCATACACTCTGTTTATATTAAATTGCAGACCAGCGCCACTGAATGCAGTTAATTTTAACAGTAAGCAAGACCAAGGACATTTATAGTGTAAGAACTTAAAGAAAATATTTACAAGAAAATTGAACTCTAACCTACACTGTTTCCCCCAAAATAAGACATCCCCTGATAATAAGCCCAATCAGGCTTTTGAGCACATGGCAATAAGCCAAGCCCTTATTTCGGGTTCAACAAAATATAAGACAGGGTCTTATTTTTGGGAAAACATGGTATGCATATTTGCAGATGAGTTTTTCAATGTGAAATTTAACTGTTCCACTTCTGAACTTTCAGAATTATAGAATGAAAGAGTTGGAAGGGACCTTGAAGGTCTTTTAGTATGAGAGAATGTGGTTCTTTGGTCGGTCTCTCATTTTATCTCAACATCCTTTCTGTCATTTTTCTTTCCTAAATAAAACTAGGAAAGACAGAAAGTTGGAACAGCACTCATTTATTACACCACAGTGCAGTTACAAATCGTCCCAAGTAACACTGGTATTTCTTGTAGAATCTAATGCTTAGCAAACTGCTACTAATATACATGTTCTTGCAAAAAAGAATATTAATAAAATATTAGTAGAAAAATATTTGTGTATATGGATGATAGAAAACTAAGGGCAATAAAACCTTGAATGCAAATCAGATGTAATATAAGTAGCTATGTCTCTTTTCAGGCATATATAGTCAGTCTCTCAAACAAAAGTTTGTTTTTCAGCTGCCTGGAATTTAGTGTCTTGTGTGTATTGATAGAACAAAGAGAAAGTAGAGATTTAGAAATTATCCACACATGAATGCCCAGAACTTCTATTCTCTGTTTAAGAAAATGCAGCCAGAGGCAGCACTCACTAGACTTGGGGTATGTTGAGCTCAGTAGATCATCTAGATGTGCTTGGAATTCTTCCACTTCATCGTAGATTTCTGCAAAATACTTTATCAAAGAGATAAAGAGAGAGATCAAACAGATCAAACAGAGAGCGCCTCTTCTTTTTCTGGCTTCATTTTGGCTGTGAAAGGGTTAAAGGGGAGGACAGCATTCTGAGTAAACAGAACTCTTTTCATCCACAGTCAAGAGATTTGCCACACAACCCAGCAACTATCTGGGTTCATAGCCTAGTGAGAGTGGCAGCTGATAGTAGCACCCTCAAACACTTGATAACATCTCATATATAAAGATAGTCATGTCATCCTGGACACAGAATTGAATTATCCCATGAAGGAGCTGGATAGTCAGGAAGACATAGAAAGGAACAGAAAAATACAGCACTTCTCTAATCCTGTTGTCCAAATTTGTTAATGTTCTACTCTGCTAGCCTGACTTCTATTTACAGGACGGATATGAAAAAAAATGCTCAAAGATAATCAACTTTACTTTTTAAGCACTTTTTCCTTCTTCAAAGAAAACAGCACTAATCACTCAATTCCTGTATGTATTTCAGATATTTGGGAGATCTAAAGACATCCCGTTCCACAAGTCCCGGTTCAAAATGTCTGCTCTATATGACTCATATCCCTCCTTCCTTTTTCAGAATGCAGCAAAGCAGGTTGTATCTCAGCTGTCCAGAAATAACTACGATATCTTGGCTTGAATGTACCTGGCAAGCCTCCTGGCTGTTTTTGACTTTGGAATGGGAGCAGAGACAAGGTCCGGGGCATTAGAATAAGTGGGAGAGCAGTAGACCTTTGGCTTGAAGTGGGAGGGACTTTTAAGTATTTAAGAGGAATGGAATTCAGCCCTTCTGAACAAACAATTTTTTTTAACTTAACATTGTCTCTGCATTTCAACAAAACAGCTCTTCTTCCCAAATCTCATCTCTATAAACAAGTTGTGAAGCTTCTTCATTCAGTCCCAATCAGCAGACGACCATTAAATGTTACCAGCAATGTATATATTTTAACCTTAATCAAATAAATCAATTTTATATATCCTCCCTTTATTTTTTTTTAATATAGTAACTTACAACATTCACTAAAAATGTGAATTCACTAAAAAAAATGAAACACCGCTGGGGGGGGGGGCAAAGCCCTACTAAGCAGGTATATACAAAAGTATGAAGGCTATTGCTTAACGCATTGTAAGCCACCCTGAGTCTTCGGAAAAGGGCGGCATAAAAATCGAACAATAAATAAATAATAAATAAATAAAAATAATACAAAAGACTTCTTCTTTCTTTATCATATCTCTTCTTTATAAATATATCTTTAAAGCCTGGTCATTCATCCTAGTAAAAAAAAAATCTATCCAGGGATATTAGAAATAACAACATACAGTATATGTTAATCTTCATTATATAAATCCATTTTGTGTTTCTTCTCTCTACTTTTAAGAATCTTGATCTTTAATCCCTTGAACAAGTGTCTCACAAATTGATTTCTTATCATTTTCTCTTTTTCTTTTCCCAGAAACTGCTTCCTAAATTCAACACAACTTTTTTGTAAATCCAAGATAAGGAAGTTTACCAAGTCATCCTTCTAGTTTATTATTTATATGTGTTTAATTTAAGACATTATTAACCACTGAATTCTTCCACAGTCAAATATATTGTACCTTTCTGTATCTCTTCTCCCTTTATTATAATCTTTAGTTCTTTTTGATTTCCTGCACTCAAACCTCAAAGTCCTTTTAAAATATGACATATCATATTTTTTTTCTAATCAACAATTCTTTTCCAAAGAAAGATGTCAGTTTGTTTTAAATCTTAATGTATTTTTATAAATATTTAAAACTATTAACTAAAAGTTTTCCAACTAAAAGGAAATATTCTTATAATTAATTTCAAAATCTTTTTTCAAGTTCATCTGGTCCCTTAAGCAACTATTTTCCTCTTAAAAATTTGCTGTGAATGATTCCAGGTTTGCTTCTAATATTTTAAATTGTACATTTAACTTATAAGACCAGCTCAGTTTTCTACAGGTACTCTCAATTTATGACCATTCACTTAGCAACCATTCAAAGTTATGACAGATTTATCTGGGATTACCATGACCCATATAGGTCTGTCATAGGGGGGACATGCTAGCACTATTCCAGTATTTGAGGGGCTGCCATAGAGAAGCAGGGGGTGAACTTATTTACCAAATCAACTGTCGGCAGGACAAGAAACAATAGATGGAAACTAATAAAGGAGAGAAGCAACCTGGAACTAAGGAGAAACTTACTAGCAGTGAGGACAATTAACCAGTGGAACAGCTTGCCTACAGACGTTGTAGGTGCTTCATCACTGGAGGTTTTTAAGAAGAGACTGGACAGTCACTTCTCTGAAATTGTACAGGGTCTCCTGCTTGAACAGGGGGTTGGACTAGAAGACCTTCATGGTCTCTTCCAGCTCTATTTTCATTGATGTTCCAGACACAAAGTTCAACCTGATGAACTCCCCCATAGTCATGTGACTGAATTTTAGGCACTCAGCAACCAGGCCACATTTTTGACTGTTTGTAATGCTCCATAGTGACTTGATCACATTTTATAATGGTTCTGCTGAAAATTGGCCTTTACTTTCAGTTTTTAGCAAAGTTGCACCCATTGCAAACTACTGTATAGGTTTGCTTAACAACTACAGTATTTGTTTAACAACCACTGTATAAGTGGTCATAAAAATTGGGTCATCAAATGACAAACATATTTTTTGTCTGTGATGGGCAGGTTCTATTACAATTGTAATTTGAGAATTACCCTGTATATGTTCCTCTTCCATTTGCTGAGATCATTTTCCTGGGCAGGCAGTGTTTTTGGTTTCAGATAGGGAAAAAAACAGAAATATAAAGCAGGAAGGCATGTTCAAGGTTATATGTTTCTTAAACATGATCAGATTTCATGAAGATGGAAATAGATTATAATTAAAAGCTTAAGTCGTAAGTCACATAACACTTATTTACTAAAATTCTATAAGACCAAAAGAAAATGAGTCACGGGACAGTTTCAGATGACACTTTTATTCTGCAGTTGTTTGCCTGGAACACAAATTCCAATGTAAAATCTGAATGATGTCAATCCACTATTTTCCAGTATTTGCATTTTTGCAAGTAATCTTCCAAGAAAGTAAAGATGAAGTAGTGACATTTCAAGGAAGGAAGGAAGGAAGGAAGGAAGGAAGGAAGGAAGGAAGGAAGGAAGGAAGGAAGGAAGAGGAAGAAGGAAGGAAGGCACAAGCTACATCCCTTTCACAAATGTAAGAACTAGAAATATAAGAACTTAAACGTCTGAAGTTTTGCATCCCAAGGAAAGAGGTCAATGATTAAAAAGGAACAATATCATAAATAAAATGCAGATTGGAGTTCATTTTTGTTCTTGGCATGACTTTGATATTAGCTAGGTCTTTCCATCATTTGATGGGGGCACAGTGGCATCTTGTCTCGGAGTACATCTATATACAATCTCAGCATCTTCAACTAGTCTCACAGGTAACAAAGCAGATCCTCACTAAAATAGAAAAGAGATTAAACAGAAAGTAAATTATCTATAGGAATGAAGATTATGAGATTGTATCAAAGCACAAAGATGGGTTTTGAGGAAGGAGTTTTGAAAACAAAAAGTGGCCATTCTAGATTTTGAGGAATGGTGACAGCAGGCAAGATGCTCATAGCTGAGATTTCCTACTGTAACAAAATCTCTGCATTTCATTCTAGTTATTGTAATGCTTTGCAGTTTGCTAGTTCTCTTTTTTTAAGACCAATCACTACTCAAAGGGCAAAATGTGTGAAACCTACTGTTCCTTCTTCTCTCATTACTGGCTCCATTGTGCACTGTAGGAAGGCAGTTTTTTTATATAAACTACAATGTTAACATTACTCGTAAGCCATAAACCATTGTTTATTGTTTCCAAACCTGTCTTTATTCAGCAAACTAAACAAAAAACCAAACCATATTTGGGTGATACTAATTATTTTAATTATATCCTATTTTTCAAATCAATGGGCATTTAATTCAGTTTGGTGTAATGTCTTAATACAATTAACGGCTTCTTACAAATAAGAGATAATAACAATGAGGAAAATGAAAGTAAGAACACAGCTTGCCATTCTCTTAGGTTGAGTGTCTAAATATGAACAATATCAGCCTATAGTGCTGGCCTGATAGCCTTAACCGAGATAGTCCTTGATTACCAACGCTAATTGGGATTGGAAACTCTATCATTAAACAATCCGGGACATAAGCAAAAAAATGCACATGATCATCTGTTATATCTTTTTCCATATCATTCTAGCCTTACAAACTGCAGTCACAACTATTAATTGCCCTTTGTTCTTAAAACTGAAGGTAGTCCTTGACTTACAACAGTTCATTTAGTGACCATACAAAGTTACAACAGCACTGAAAAAAAATAACTTATGATCATTTTTCACACTTATGACCATTGCAGTGTCCCCATGGTCACATGATTTACATTTGGATACTTGGCAACTGGTTCATATTTATGAGTTTGCAGTGTCCCTGGGTTCATGTGATCCCTTTTTGCGACCTTCTGACAATGGGGAAGCCAGATTCACTTAACAAACCTGATACTAGTTTAACAATTGCAATGATTCACTTAACAAATGTGGCAAGAAAAGTCATAAAATGGAGCAAAACTCACTTAATGAATTTCTCAGTGAGCAACATAAATTTTGGGCTCAATGGTGGTCATAAGTCGAGGACTACCTGTACTTGCTTAGAGCAGGAACAAACATGCTACTGAAGCTCTACCTGCAACATAGCAATAGCAATAGCGCTTGCATTTACATACTGATGCATAGTGCTTTATAGCACTCTCTGAGTGGTTTACAAATGTCAGCATATTGTCCCCAACAATTTGGGTCCTCATTTTACCGACCTCGGAAAATAGAAGGTTGAGTCAATCTTGAGCTGGTCAGGATCGAACTCCTGGCTGTGTGCATAGTTTGCTTGCAATACTACATTTTAATCACTGCACCACCACTGCTCCAATATACTGTATATTATATCTGGAATAATGTGATTAGTATGAAAGACACCATTTTTTTAGGATGTGCTAACACCCTAAATGTGACATTTGGGAGTCATGAGCCCTGCTTCAAAGCAGTTGTGTTACTCTGTCAGTGTCTCTCTCTCTCGACCAGATTTTCTGGAGACCACATGCTTTCTTTTTGGATCCAAAACACTGCAGATCCCTACTTTCATAATATATGATCTAAGTACCTCACTGTACAGTATTCCTTTCACACTGTATTAATATTCACTTTCATATTAGGTCTGTATTCATTCAATACCCATTCAATCTTGATCCTATCAGGCTGGAACTATCACTCCTTGTCCTATCATGCACATTCAGAAATATCCTACTCCCACTGCATTGCTAATTTCCATTTTCATATAACAAAGAAGGCAGAACCCACTATTATTCACATCCATTCTGGCTTCCTTCAAAAAATATACTTGCTCCCAACAGATCACAAACTTAAAATAATAATATAATGGAATAGGAATAGGAATAGAATAGGACTAGGACTAGGACTAGGACTAGGACTAGGACTAGGACTAGGACTAGGACATGGACATGGACATGGACATGGACATGGACATGGACATGGACATGGACTAGACCAGACCAGACCAGACCAGACCAGACCAGACCAGACCAGACCAGACCAGACCAGACTAGACTAGACTAGACTAGAATAGAATAGAATAGGAGCTGGAAGGGATCTTGGAGTTCATTTAATCCAGCCCCCTGCTCAATCAGGAGATCCTATACCATTTCAGACAACTGACTGTCTAGTAGTCTCTTCTTTAAAACCTCCATTAATGGAACAGCCACGATTTCTGAAGGCAAGCGTTTCTATTGGTTAATTGTTCTCACATTTTAGGAAGTTTCTCCTTAATTCCAGGTTGCATCGCTCCTTGACTAGTTTCCATCCTTGGTTTCTTGTCCTGCACTCTGATGCTTTGGAAAATAAGTTGAGCCCCTCTTCTTTGTGGCAGCCCCTCAAATTCTGGAATACTGCTATCATGTCACCCTTAGTCCTTCTTTTCTCTAGACAATCCAAATCCTGCAACCGTTCTTCATATGTCTTAGTCTCAAGACCTTTAATCATCTTAGTGGCTCTTCTCTGCACTTTTTCCAAAGTCTCAACATCTTTTTTGTAATGTGGTGACCAAAACTGGGTGCAGTATTCCAGGTGTGGTCTTACTAAGGTTTTATAAAGAAGAACTAATACTTCACATGATTTTGATTCTATGCCTCTGTTTATACAACCAAGGATTGTATTAATTTTTTTGGCTGCCGCCACACACTGCTGGCTTCTCACTGTTTTTCTATCAGCATCTGTCTTAAAACTTGTTTTTCCATCTTTACTAAGCATTCTGTGAAAGAACAGAAATTCACCCATAGTGTTTTTTAAAATCATGGGTTTGGGCAATTAAGATTTTCACTTAAAGTGTTTTACTAAGAGACAAAATCTACATTAGGGTTACCCACCTTGGGTATACCTGTGCCACGTGTCATATTCCCTGTTCATGGGAAGAACAGTAATCAGTTTAGACACATTTTGGTCAGGATACCACATGAGGAGCCAAAATTACCGCAAGCCCACTATTAATGCTATATGTACAGCCCATATACTGTTGGACTGTCATCCACCCCAAGAGGTATAGGTAGTATAGTGACATATGCTCAGAACACATAGAACATTTCTGTGGAACATATTGGGTGAAAGAATACATACCCAAGTAGGAAAAGAACAATCATATCTCTGTTCGAAACTGCAGCGTAGTTCCTTTCATTTGCATCTTGTAATTCTCATCGAAACGCTCATTTTGTGTCACTGTGAATTTGTTCTTCCAGTCACCAGCAATTCCTAAATTGAAGGAAAAATAATAGCCAATATTAGTTTCCTTGATGTTTTCTGAGCCTGATGGTTGCTTGCAGACATTTCAATACCCAAATAGATAATGTTTTGAATATCGTTATTTTGCAAGAGAAGACAATGATTTGAAGCTCAAGATTGGAGTCTTTTGTGTTCTCTGAGCTTGGTTGCTTACAGACATTTTATTACTCAATTAGGTATCACATATTTTCTATTGCAACAGGACTATATTCAAAACCGGATAAGGTAAAGTTGAATCTCAGCATGGGATCCATATATAGCAAAGCATTTGTTGGATCTCAAAAACATTAAATAACTCAGATTTCACTGAAGGTATTGCCCAAATCTCTTGAAATGTTGATAGGCTCTCATGAGCTTTGGGATGTTTTGTAGGTTTGCATGACATTTTTGGTGAAGCCTTGAGAGTTAGTTGCAGATCTCTATCTACGTTTAAACTATGTACTAAAACCTGGTGGCGAGGTGTTTATGTTTATATGATGACACATATTACCGGGAAAAGTTATAATTTTGAAATACAATTTAATAATTGTAACCTAACATATGACGGCTGGAAGAATAATACAAATTTTTCCTTTCTCTCTCATCTTTTATCCTCCTTTACAGTCAAGGCCACTCTTTCGGGCATAGTTGGAATTGGAGTAAGGCCTGTTTCCCCAATCCAGTCCTTTCTTTTTTGCTTCTAACCTGAGTGGTAGACTCTAAAACTCTAAGTCAGAGTTCCCCAACCAGTGAGTCTTCACGAGAATGTATATTTAATAATGTATAGTCTACATTTAATAATGAAATTGATCTATAATTCTTTATTTGTTGTAAATGTGATTCTTCTTTTGGTATAAGAGTTATATATGCCTCCATCCATGAGTTCGGGACCTTGGCTTTTACTAATAAGTCATTAAATACTTGTAATATCGTATTACTTAATACATCTTGAAACCTTTTATATAGTTCTGCTGGTAATCCATCTGGTCCTGGGGCTTTGCCATTCTTCTGTTTTTTAATTCCCTCCATCAATTCCATCATCAATATTCTTTCTTCTAATGCCTTTTTAATTTTTTTTGGAATTTTAGGAATCATCGCTTTTTCTAGGTATTGTTCTATTTTCCCTTCTGGCACCTTCTCTTGTTGATATAAACTCTTATAATATTTCTCAATTATTTTTTTCTTTTCCTCATTTTAATAACATATCTTTCCATCTTGGTCTAGTAATTGGCTTATCAGTTTCTTTTCTTTTTCGTTCTTCATTTTATATGCCAACTATCTTCCTGGCTTTTTCATATTTTCAAATAAATTTTGCTTTGTTAATTTTATTTTATTTGCCAGTTCTTCATTTTCTATTAAATTCAATTTATGTTTTTGCAAGTCCATCAAATTCTTAATTTTTTTGTCCTGTGGATTGTTATGTAGATCTTTCTCTAATTTCTTATACTCCTCCTCCAACTTCTTTTGAGTTTGTCTATTCTGTTTGTTCCTTTTTCTTATGTATGTCACTGCCAATTCTCTTATATACGCCTTACTAGTATCCCATACATTTTGTAGTGATGTATCTTCTTTTCTGCTTTCTTTAAAGAAAAAGATTAGTTCTTTTACCATATATTGTAAAAAATCCTTTTCTTTAATAAATTTTGATTTAGTGTCCATCTCATTCTTTTTCTCTGCCCCTTCCATGTCATCATTATTGGATTGTGGTCTTCCCATGTATTTGCTTCTATATCAATCTTATTTATCTTAGATATTAAGTCATATTTATTCTTGACCATGACATGTTCCTATTTGAGTAGAATGTATACTATATTTAAATTTCTTTTTCTCCATGCATCTTATAAACTTAATTCCTCTGTCATTATATAGAATGCTTTAGGGAGCGTCTTTCTTAATTTTTTGTTCACTTTTGTCGATTTATAGTCTAATTCATTATTAACAATTGTATTGAAATCTCCTGTTATACAAATATCTTCATATTCATATTCTAATATTTTCCTGTCTACTTTTGCATAAACTTCCTCTTGGTTTTCATTTGGAGCATATATCCCCACTAATAATATTTTTTTGTGGTTCATTACTATTTCTACCATTAATATTCTTCCTTCCTCATCTTCAAATATTTGTTTAGACTGAATTATTTTTTAATATAAAATGCTACTCCTCTTTTGCTTTGACAAGCCAATGTTGTATATAATGTTCCCAATTTTGTTTGTTTCAAAAGTTTTTTATGTTGTTTTCTAATATGAACTTCTTGTAAGCATATAATTTCTAGTTTTTATTTCTCTAATTTATTAAATATTCTTTTTATTGCCAAATTTAGTCCATTTATATTCATTGATATTATTTTAATTTCTTCTTCCATTTCTTATTTATTTACTTGTTTTGTAGATCTAGTTGTTCTTATCTCCCTTTGCTCTTTAACTTCTTTTGCTCTTGCCCCTTCTCTTATCGCTCTTTCTTCTTATTCTTTGGCTGCCTCTTTTGGTTGTTCTTTTTTTCTCTCCTGTCGACCATCCCCTCTTTCTTCACTCAGTCTCTCTTCCTCTTGAAATCCTATGTACTGTTCGTAAAATCTTTCTGCTTTCTCTATTGTGTCTAATCTGTGTCTTTGTTCCTGTCAATTCACCAATATTCTTTCTGGTACCAACCATCTAAAATTCACTCCTCTTTTGATCAAACATTTTGTAAGAAATTGATATTCTCTTCTCTGCATTCTTTCTAGAGTCTCAACATGGTTTTTGAGATGTTCATGTCAAGGGCCCAGGTATAATCTTCTCTGATAATGACACATGTTAATCTTCCCCAAGCCATTGATTGCATTATCAATCATGGTAATTCTTTCTAGAAAGTCTTAGAGTGGAAGCCCATACATGTACAGGTTCTCAGCTTGGTTGTGCATGTACCATCACAAAGAATAGCCTATTTGCTTACAACAATATTATTACATTCTCATAGTACAATTATTGTACCAAGGGAATGTAATATCTATCTGAGACCAAAAATGTCTATCTCATTTTCTCTCTAGTTCAAGATCATATTAGGAGCAGAACTCTTGACTTCAAATTCCATAATCCCTGACCAGGAGAGCTAGTACAGGTGGTCCTCAATTTACGACCACAACTGAGCCAAAATTTATGTTGCCAAGTGAGACATTTGTTAAGTGAGCTTTGTCCCATTTTATAATCTTCCTTGCCAGAGTTCTTAAGTGAATCACTGCAGGTGTTAAATTAATCACACAATTGTTAAGTGAATCTGGCTTCCCCATTGACTTTGCTTGCCAGAAGGTAGCCAAAGGTAATCACATGACCCTGGGACATTGCAACCATCATAAATATGTGTCAGTTGCCAATCATCTAAATTTTGGTCACATGACCATGGGGATGCTGCAATGGTTGTGAAAAATGGTCACAACCATTTTTCATAACTCATACTCCATCCAGTCCCACTTTGGTTATTTGATAGACTCACCTTTCCTCATGAAAGGAGAGATTTTGTGATCCATAACTGAAGTGGGAATGCTTTTGTAATTAGCCATTTGGTTCTGACTCATCTCTTTGAAGGAGGTGTGGTGTGAAATCTTCTTGACTAAGTTTTCATCAACTGGCCTCTCTAGGAATTCCATTACTTTTCGAATCTCCCGTTCTGGATCCTGTGTACAAAGCAACAATCAAGTAGTGAAAGTCAGGAATTTTGGATTAGGAAGAGTTTTGAGGTATGGGTATATTATGCTATATATTAAATAAAGTAAGGAATTTTTGGATTAGGAAGAATTTTGAGGTGCGGGTATATTATGCTATATATTAAATAATTTAAATTAAAATATACTATCCGTTACAATTTGACAGCTATTACCTATCTGCTGTATAGTCGAGAATGTTTATTTCCTTTTAATACTTTGCAGTTAGACACATGTGCATGTAATTTTTAGCCATGAGTTTCCATTATGAGCCAATATTGAGGTTGACTCAGTCTTCCATCCTTCCGAGGTGGGTAAAATGAGGACACAAAGCAGTATACAAGTCTAAGTGCTGTTGCTATATTATTTAATGCCATGTATGGCTAACCAAAGTTTAGCCTAGAAGAAAAACAAAACTAGCCTGAAGAGATGATTAGCATGGAGGAAGTGAGAAGAGAGATGGAAGTAACTATCTTGTATTTAACTTTGGGATGGCTCTGAGTTAGATAAAGTAGGCCTATTGAAATTAGTGAAATAAGCCATGGCTCTTAGTTTCTGTGGGCCTACTCTCAGGCATGTCTAAATGTAGATCAAGTTCAAGGCCTATCTTTCTACAGATACATAATTAGGAAAAGAATCTGAGAAATGTCTTGCCGGACAATTACAAAGTAAAATAAGTATGTGGAAATAAAAGAAAACAAGTTTGAATGGATGACAACAATTTTGCATTCTTCATCTCCTATTTGTAGGTTTTTCAGGAACATCTAATTAAAATCAGAATGCTATAGTAAGGGATCTGTTTGAGGAACTGGGAATTTTTGGCCCTGGAGATACTACAGAAGTCCCATCCTAGTCCCCACTATGCGCCATTCATAAGACTTGTAGAACAGGAGATCTAGGCCCCATAACTAAATCTTAATGTGGGAAAAGAAGTGAAAATTATAGTAGTAATGAAGGTTAATAAAAGAAGCAGAAAGAATCTTGCCTCTTTCATGTCTTCATAAAAGAGGTACAGAATCCTGTATTTCTTCGTGATGTCCCACCAACCTTTGACGTGATCATACCAGGATCCAAAAGACACTGAGGAGAGAAATAGAATGCTTGTGAATGATGGGAATTTTAGTGCAACAACATGGAGAAAGCTACAGTTTCCTTACTACTTATTTGGTTCAGACACCAGAAGTATGAAACAGGACTAGAAGCTCTAGTAGAAGTTGATAGTCAAACTAAAGAACCATACATTTACATGGACATATCTGCCCACTCAAACAGAAAGGGTAACAAGAAGAAGAAAGTCCTGATCTGATCTTCTCATTTACATAATTTCTGTGAAACATCTTACTAGTTCCAAGAGTTTCTACTAGGCTTCCCCCAAAATGTCACCCAGCCCATTATTTGCTTTTTTAGCAACAGGTAATAGGAACAGTATCATATTTTGAAGTTACCATATCAAGGAGGGTTAATATCAAGCTCAATGCTTGGAAGGGTTTATTATCCACTTACCATTTCCATCCATAAATTTCTCCAGAAATTCCTCCCATGTTCCAGGCTCTGGGTGCACTTTTGCCATTTGGTAGAAATAGTAGTATGAGACAGCCACATCTTTGGCGTTTCTGGCCACATAGATAATCTGTTTGGTGACAAACAACAATGTTAATTAAGCTGATAGTGCATTTCATTTCTGAGGACACAGTATGGAATGATTTGAAGATCTTTACTCAATATGTTCTTGCATTCAATTGACTAGTTCTTCTTGCATTAACAGTCACATTTTTTTCTTACCTTGCAGTTCTTTTCCAAGAAGGATTTGGGGAGCATTTGGACAGGAAGGTGGGTCTTGATTAGACATGGGCGGGGTGCTTCCTTAAGCAGTTCAATGCCTGGAAGGGGAAAAAGAATAATTGAAGGAACTTCTCCCATACTCTCCACCCCCCCCCACTCCATTAGCTTATCCATACCACATACATTCTGGATGAATTTGCTTGCAGATATCTCAACTAGCATTAGGAAAAGCTTTGGAGATGTCTGCAGGTAAATCTTTTATATTATTTGCATCCTCTCCCATCTTCACAGTTGGCATTTCTATTCCACTGTCAAGTGTGAAAGACTAGGACCATACATAAACTTCCAACTAAACTGCTTTATTACTTATGTCTATGCACAGGTATCTACTCAACTAACGGCACTAGATTGGCACTAGATAAAGGCCAACAGAATTCAAGAAGGCTTATGTGTGGTTATGCTCTCTACATGGGGCTCCCCTTGAGGAGCACCTGGAGACTCCAACTGGTGCAGAGTGCGGCCGCACGGGTGGTTATGGGAGCGACGTGTAACACCTGTAACACCATGTAACACCTCTCCTGCGCGAGCTGCACTGGCTCCTGGTCGTCTTCCTGGTGTGCTTCAAGGTTTTGGTTACCACCTTTAGAGCACTCCATGGCTTAGGACCTGGATACTTACGGGACCGCCTGCTGCCACCAGCAGCCTCTCACCGGCCAGTACACTCTCATAGAAAGGGGCTCCTCAGGGTGCCGTCGGCCAAATAGTGTCAGCTGGCGGCCCCCAGGGGGAGAGCCTTCTCTGTGGGGGCACCTGCTATCTGGAATGAGCTCCCCCCGGAGATACGGAAGATCCCGGATCTACTCACCTTCTGCCGCACCCTCAAGACCTTTCTATTTCAACAGGCTGGCCTGGCCTAACTTTTTCCTTTTTAAAATTGTAAATTTTAAATTTGTCTTAACCATTGCGGGTGTTTTTAATTTGTCTCGGGCCAAATTATTTAATGTGGTTTTATACTGTTTTTAAATTTTGTAATCTATGTGTTTTGTTTTTGGGCTGTTCACCACCCTGAGTCCTTCGGGAGTAGGGCAGTATACAAATCTAATAAAATAAAATAAATAAAATAAATAAATGTCCATTTGTGGCTCTGTAGAGACTCTAGGCTGATACCTCTATTGAATCTGCCCCCAGGTTCTGCGACTCCTTCTCCCACATTCATCTCATAGACTAGACTTCCTCCTCCATCCCTCTCCTCCCAAATTGCTGTCTAGAGGGGAAGACATCTATGATGTTTTACCTGTAGGGACATCAGGTACAGCAAATTCCAGGAAAGGGACTCGCATGTAGATGGGTTGAACTCTGCATTTTTCCAGACTGCCTTCTTTGTAGATCATGTCTACAATCTCACTGACCCAGGTGGTACCTGAAAGAGCATAAGAAGGTTGGATGTGCTGAACCAAGATCATATTACAAGAAGAAAACAGGTTATTGCCTAAAACAATACATGATTCTTGTTATAGCTACTACAAGTATACAATGGCTGCAGAAAGTCTACACACACCCCTTTTAAAATGCCAGATTTTTGAGATATATAAAAATCAGACCACGCTAAATCACTTCAGAATTTTTCCACCTTTAATATAATATATAAACTGAACAATTCAATTGAAAATCAAACTGAAATCTTTCAGGGAGAAAAAAATAAAAACAAAAACCTAGAATAATGTGGCTGCATAAGTGTTCAAACCCGCTTATGAGTAGGGATGTGGCTATGTTCAGAATTAATCAATCATATTCATATTATGTTAAATAGTAGTCAGTACACATCTGCTATCAATTAAAGTGGCTCTGATCAAGCCCATATGAAGTTCAAATGTTGTAGTGGGTTTTTTTTTCTGATATTTACTCAGTTACAGCAAAAGCCATGGTCTGCAAAGAACTTATAAAGCATTAAAAGGATAGTTGCTGTTAAGCAGTTCGTTCTCCAGAAGTCAAATCAAAGCTGTCCTAGAACATTGAATAATAGAGTTGGAAGAGACCTTGGAGGTCTTTTGAAGGCAAGAAATGTTTTCTCTGGGTTAGCTTTGCCAAAGTCTCCAGAAGGACACATCTGGTGAGAGAAATCAACCAATGGAACAATTTGCTGATCTCCAAGGGCTTTTCCAACTCTATTCTGATTGAAATTGATTGTATCTCATTGTTGGAAGGTATCACTCAAGAGTAGAGTACAAAAAATGTCCAAAGCATTGGATATTCTATGGAACATAGTGCCATGGAAATTTTTTGTACAAAGCACAATGAAGACAGTCATCAACAAGTGTAGAAAACATGGCACAACAGTGACATTACCAAGAACTCGATGCCTCTTCAACATTGATGAAAAAACAAGAAGAAAACTGGTTTAAGAGGCTGCTAAGAGGCTTGCAGCAACATTTAAGGAGCTGCAGGAAGTTCTGGCAAGTATTGGTTGCATACTACTTGTGGTGCAAACACCACACTGTGCACCACCAGAAGTACATCATCCCCACAGTGAAACATGGTGCTGGCAGTATTATGCTTTGGGGTTGCTTTGGGGTTGCTGAAATTGGGGCTTTAGTCAAGGTGGAGGAAATTATGAATGGTTCCAAATAACAGTCAATTTTGGCAATTAATTGTCAGGCCTCTGCTAAAATGCTAAAGGTGAAGAGAAATTTTACCTGTCAACACGACATACCATACGTTTAAATCAACAAAAGAATAGCTTCACTCAAAGTTTTGGAATAGCCTGGACTGGAATCCAATTGAAAAATCAGTGGGGTGACCTGGAGAGGGCTTTGCACAGGAGATGCCCCTGCAATCTGACCGATTTGGAGCACTTTTGCAAGATTGGGCAAAGATTCACAAGGCAAATGAGCCATACTTATAGGCTCTTACCCCAAAAGATTGGATACTGTCATAAAATCAAAGGGGCTTCAACAAAATATTAGTTTAAAAGTGTGCAACCACATTATTGTAAGTATTTTACTGTTATTTTTCTCCCTAAAATATTTCAGTTAGTTTTTCAATTAAATTATATAGCTTATACAGATAGTCTTCAATTTACAACCATTAGTAACCTTTCAAAGATACAACGGCACTGAAAGTGACTTATGACTCTGTTTCACAATTAAGACCATTGCAGCATCCCCATGGTTACGTGATCAAAATTCAGACACATGGCAACTGGCATGTATTTATGATACGGTAGTTGCAGTGTCCCGGGGGTTGGGGGGGAGGTCATGTGATCACTTTATGCGACTTTCTGACCAGAAAAATTAATGGGAAAGCCAGATTCACTTAACAACCATGTCACTAATTTAACAACTGCAGTAATTCATTGAACAACTGAGGCAAGAAAGATCCTAAAATGGAGCAAACTCACTTAACAACTGTCTTGCTTAGCAACAGAAATGTTGGGCTCCAATATGCTCATCATAGGACTTGAGGACTACCTATATGTTATGTTAAAGGTAGAAAAACTTATAAATTGATTTATCCTGGTTTGATTTTTTATATCTTAAAACCTGGCATTTTAACAGGGATGTGTAGACTTTCTATAACTACTTTATTTTCTGAAGGTGTTTTCCCACTTAACACTTCATTCTTGAATTGTCATGAAATTATATTGGAGTAAAATTGTCTGCTCCAAGTGCCAATCAGGAGTGGCAGGATATTCCTATCCATCTAAAATGGCACCTAAAATGCTTTTCTGATCCTGCCCTTTGGTAATCCACCAGACTTCACTTCCAGTGTTACAAATGAAGAAGTAAAATAGATTTTTTGCTATTACAGATTAACCTGCCTCTCTTCCTATAAATCTACTATAGATGCAAATGAGATGAAACAAAAGCAATGGAGGACGATACAGATCGGGCACCAGGCAGAGCAAACTTCATGCTGATTCAGTTTTCTTCCAGGTCAAGGATGGCAGATAGCAGTTCAGATCAACAGAAGTAAAAGAGTTTATTACTGTTAGGCCCAAGCCTAAAGACCATCCAGTGAAATCCAATCATGTCCAAACCTGCATTTGCTTACAGCTAATGGACAGAATCTTGCCAAACTAAAGTAATAATCTTCTAACCTACTACATCTATCCTGAAAATTTCTAGTGTGTGACTATCCATGAGTATGAACTGTGGTGGCGCAGTGATTAGAATGCAATACTGCAGGCTACTTCTGCTGACTGCCGGCTGACTGCAATTTGGCAGTTAACCTCTCGCCAGGCTCATGGTTGACTCAGCCTTCCATCCTTCTAAGGTTGTAAAATTAGGACCCAGATTGTTGGGGGCAATATGCTGACTCTGTAAACTGCTGAGAGAGGGCTGTAAAGCACTGTGAAGTGGTATATAAGTGCTACTGCTATTGCTACCCTAAACATCTTCCGCCCAACCTAATCCATTTTGGAACTGAATAATAGAATAACAAAATAACAGAATGGAAAGGGACCTTGGAGGTTTTCTAGTCTAACCTCCTGCTCAGGCAGGAGACGCCATACCATTCCAGGCAAGTGGCTGTCCAATCTCTTCTTAAAAGCCTCCAGTAATGGAGTAGTCACAACTTCTGAAAGCAAGCTGTTGCACTGGTTGATTGTTCTCACTGCTAGGAAATTTTTCTTAATTATAGGTTGCTTCTCTCCTTGATTAGTTTCCATCCATTGTTTCTTGCCTTGCCTTCTGGTACTTTGAAAAATAGCTTGACCTCCTCTTCTTTGTGGCAGCCCCTCAAATGTTGGAACACTGCTATCATGTCACTCCTAGAAAGGCCCAGAAGAACCTACACAGTCTCTTAATCTGGGCCCTTGTCTGGGAAAGCTCTGCTTTGCCAAAACGCATATCCACTGATTCTCCATGTGCACACTTCATCTATCACCTTCAAAACTAGAGCTTGCCCTACTCCAATTTTGTGAGGTAGAGGACAGAATATTCATCTAAAATAGTGAGAAAATTTATTTCCACATTCCATTTCATGACATTTTAAGATAACCAGTGTACCCCATTTAAAGTTTGAGGAAATGTTTTATTTTGTTTAATCAGCCTGTTTAACACATTTGGAAAGTTTTCGTCAGTTTAAATAAATTAGACCTTTGTGTTTAGAATTGGCTGTTCTGCCTTGCATCTGTCCCTAGTACAACTAGAGTAACCTTGGCTGCTTCTTCTCCCAAATTTTGGTCTGAGCAGAAGAAAAGTCCAAAACCCAAGATTTTCTTTAGGATGAACAAGAAGTGATGGTAATTTATTTATTTGTTTGTTTGTTTGTTTGTTTGTTTGTTTTATTTTATGCCGCCCTTCTCCGGAGACTCAGGGCAGCTTACAATGCATTAAGCAATAGCCTTCATACTTTTGTATATATCTGCTTAGTAGGGCTTTTGCCCCCCCCCCCCAGCGGTGTTCTTTTTTATACAAAGTCAGCTTATTGCCCCCACAAACCGGGTCCTCATTTTACCTACATCGGAAGGATGGAAGGCTGAGTCAACCTTGAGCCTGGTGAGAATTGAACTCGCAATAATTGCAGGCACCTGGCAGCTAAATACTACTTTAACAGTAGTTTAGTCCACTGCACCACCAGGCTCCTAATAAGAGTGGGGAAATGTTCTTCTAATAAGTTTCCTGAGTTGTAAAGAAAGTGACCCATAAAAGTGATAATGATGACAGAAATGTATTTGCATAATACACTATGCGTGCATAAGGGTACCAGCATGCCTACTGTCCCTGTCCTAATGTTTTCTTTTATTCATATCCTTTTCATGTATTTATAACTATGTTTACATTTGTATGTGTCATAAAATATGCTTGACGAAGTAAAATAAATAAAGTTAAATTTTGAAAAAATGAAAAATGCCTTCGGAAAACATTGTTTTTAAGTGAGGAATTGAGGTCAGGGAAGAGAACAGGAGGCCGGTTCATCTGTCTAGGACAGGGATCCCCAATCTTTATGGCTTGGTATCCCCGCAGGGGTGGGGGGAAGAGGGGAACTGGCCTGTGCAAGTGGTGGGCCAGCCCACTGCTTGTGTGAGTTGATTTGCATGCACACACTGGCCTGCCACTGGCAGAAGTCGAGCTGCATGCACGCCTAGACACATACACCGAGCCAACAGTTCACATAGCTCACTTCCGAACTGGCCACAGCACAGTTCACATAGCTCACTTCCGAACAGGCCTGGGGCTGGGGACCCCTGGTCTAGGACTATCTGCTTTTCTGGGCAGTCATGGGCAAAGCAGCTCTCCTCCTACTAGAAGTGTGATTTTTATGTCCCATGCACAGGAAAGAAACTTAGAAGGGAAGGTGGACAAGCAGGCAGTGGGAATGCATACTAAACACTCTGTTCTCCCTCATACACACCACTTAAAAGAGCAGCCTCTAGTAGCGAACAACAGCATATCAAATTAAACATTCCACCCGGTTTTCTTATCAAATGAGAGTTCTGCTAATAAATATTTGGAAATTATCCAGAGGTGTCCTGCTGTGAAGTCTTGCCTGCAAATTTTGTGTTGATTGTGTCTCTTTTTCACATGTATGTTTAGGCCACATATTAGCCAAAATGTATTTTAAGTGACAGATGAAACTGTCTCCATAACATATTACAAAATACTTCTGTTTTATATTAAATTGCATATGAGCTATGCTGAATGCACTTAGATCTGATTAACAGTAAATGAAGCCAAGGAGATTTCAAGAATTAAAAGAAAAAACATTAATCTTAAAATCAGACTCTGTCTAGCCTATGCATATTTTCAGATGAGGTTTTTAATGTGAAATTTAATTATTCCATTTCTGAACTTTCACTAAGAATGTGCTTCTTTGGTCAGTCTCTCTCTTTTTTTAATCTCAACATTCTTTGTGTCTCTTTTCTTTGCAAAATAAGACTAGGAAAGAAAGGAAGTTGGAATAGCATCCATTTACAGTGTAGTTCCAAAACTTTTCAAGCAACATTGATACTCCTTCTTGTAAAATCTAATGCTTAGCAAACTGTTAATAGTATACTATAATTTAAAAACAAGATAAAATATGTTTTTGCAAAAAAGAAAATTAGTAGGAAAAAAAATACTTTCATGATGTAAAGCTAAGGACAGTAAATCATTGGGATGCAGATCAGATGTAATGTAAGTTGATATGTCTCTTTTCAGGCATGTATAGTCAGCCTCTCAAAGGAAAAGTTTGCTTTCCAGCTGCCTGGAATTTATTATCGTGTATGTTGATAGAACAAAGGGAAAGTAGAAAATTGGAAATTATCCACACATGAATGACCAGCACTTCTATACTCTGTTTAAGAAAATTAAGTCAAAAGCATCACTCACCAGACTTGGGGTATGTAGAGATCAGTAGATCATCTGGATGTGCTTGGAATCTTTCCACTTCATCTAAGACTTCTGCAAAGTACTTTATCATGGGGACCCCCTTAACAGAGATCAATGGAGGACGTGCCTCTTCTTGTTCTGGCTTCATTTTGGCTGAAGAGGAGAATGGCATTCTGAGGAAATGCAACTCTTTTCACCCAGAATTAAGAGATTTGTAACCCAATCCAATAGCTGTATACAGAGCCTAGTGAGAGTGGCACCCGATAGAAGCACCCTCAAAAGTTTCAGGACAGCTGACATATAGAGATAATCTTGTCACCCTGGACACAGGATTGAAAAGTCAACTGGAAGAGATAGATAGTAAGGAAGACATAGAGAAGGAATAGAAAAAAATAAAGCATACCTCTAACCTTGTTATCCAAATATGCTAAATTTTCAAATGTTTTCCTAAGAAGCTGCTAATGTGATGTCTATTTACTCTTGATGGAGTCATGGGAAGTGTGAAAAAAAATGTTCAAGGGATAATCAAACTATAATCAAATCAATCTTCACATGCTTGCCCCTCCTTTAAAGAAAACAGCAGTACTCACCAATTTGTATCCACAGATATTGGGGAAGGAGGGGTATTAGAACAGCCCCTTCCTTCACAAAGAACCCATACGTTCTGGTTTAAAACTTTTGTTTTGCATGACCCACATTCTTCCTTCCTTTTGCAGAGTGCAGCCAAGCAGGAAGAGTCTCAGCTGTCTGAAATATTTACCTTGGCTTGGATGGAGCTAGCTGGCCTCCTGGTAGTCTTTGGCTTGGGAACTGGAGCAGAGGCGGATTAAGTAGAACAGCAGAGAAGCTTTAGCCTCTACTGAGAGGAACAGCGACTATTTAAGAGGAACTGAATTCAGCCTTCTGATCCAGCCAAATAGGGAGGGCCTTGCCTTTTGAAACACATGTTTTGTAATGCTTGGCACAATCTTTGGTATTCGGTTGGCTGGAAATCAATTAAAAAAAAAAGTTGCTGGCATTCAAACTTGCCTGAACTTCTTTTCCTCTCAAAGACATGTTATTAATTCCAACTTTGTAAGGTTTTAAATTAGACACTATCCTTATCTGATCAGTCTTCAATCTTCCCTTTACCTAGGAGGAAAACACTCCCACCCCCCCACCCCCTGCAGTCCTGCTTTCAAATGATGCTTTCTGGACCTTGATTAACAAAGCACTTCATTTAAGTGACTTTGCACAAAACCCGAATGTCATTATTATGGCTTAATAGAGTTGGACTTGCAACTTTGCACAGAAAAAGCACATCACATTATCACAAGCTCAGATGCTTATTACTTATTTATTGGAGGGCATTTATTTATTAGCATACTGGTGGTCAGAACTCTAGCATTAATGAAACGGTTTTCTTTGATGAATTTTGACTGGAATTCAGATTTGGTTCTTGGCCCCGTATATAATCCACTTCCATTAATATTTTTTCCTGAATTTCAAGGTACGAACTTAGAGAAGTGAAGGCAAGTACTTGGATTTACTCCTATTGGGTGTAGCTAGACATTCAAAGGCAATCTTAGAAAAACATTAACTTTTTTGTCTTTCTTTGTTAGATGTGTTGAATAGACTTGTTCAACCTGTATATTAATGAACAATCAGGAGTTCAAAGAATATCACAGGTCTCTATCAATCTCCTTCTTAGTAAAAAAAAAAAAAAGTTCTGATATTTAAAATGATTAAAACATCATCACACTAAAAGCAGTTTTTAATTGCAAGATTTACATTGTAAAACTAGGTAGGATTAATTTATATTAATTAACTACAGGTATACCTTAGAGTTTGATTCAAGACCGCTACAGTAAAGTGAATATTGCAATAAAATGACTTTATTCAATCTTTTTTAAAAATATTATTTTTTATTTTATTTTTTTATTTTTAACACATTTTTTTAATTTTGTTTCTCACTGAATTATTTTGTTTCCCAGTACATATTTACACCGGGTCTGAATTTTGATCAGGTGACTGTGAGGATGCTGCAACAGTCGTAAGTGTGAAAAATGGTCATAAGTCACTTTTTTCAGTGCCGTTGTAACTTTGAACGGTCACTAGATGAACTGTTGTAAGTCAAGGACTACCTGTATTTTATTGCTAAAAAATGCTAATCATCATCCGAGCCTTCAGTACATGATAATCTGGTGGAAGGTCTTGTAAAAAAAAACGCAGTAAAGCAAAGCACAATAAAACAAGTACTGTATGCCTAACCTATAAAAGAGAAACATGGGGTTGGATCACATAGTCTTAATATCTTTAAACTTTAACCTAACAGCCAAATATAAGAGGTGAGGAGAATCACTCAGAAATTGGGAGGGTGCCTGATCCATAGAATCCCTTTACATGTACTCCTTGATTTACAACCAAAATTGAGCCCAAAATGTCTCTTGTTATAGATTGGCCTAATCTGTGTTTGTGAGGGAATAACTGGAAGTTGGAGATAGAAAGCTAAAGATCCTGGAGATAAGATTCTTGGCTTTGGTGCCCACAAATGAATTATATATTCTAAAATATCAATGACAGCACTATATCCTGGTTTTACCTTTAAAGCATCAATCAGAAGACACCTAAGCAGTAGTGGATTCCACTTACCTTTGCTACTGGTTTGGGGTCGAGCGCACGCACATGTGTGCTTGCTTTGCTTGCGCGTGGCGCTTCTGTGCATGCAGAGCATCTGTGATGACGTCCGAGCAGATGGGCGGAGCCTCCCGCCGCCGCCACTACCGATTCCCCTGAACTGGGGCAAATCTGTAGAAACCCACCACTGCACCTAAGCCTATAAACTGAGAATAGTTTGTGGAAAATGTCCTTACTGGGTAGAGTAAATGGATACTTGAACTGGAAATTAAGGGCAAAAATGGTTGCACCCCTCTTTGTTTTCTAGAGAAAGTAGAGCTCTCTATCCCAGCTTAGCTTTCCTAGACAGGTGGGAGACATGCCTGGCGAGTTGCTAGATCCTGTAAAAATATCTGCAAAGAATAACCATAATTAGCTTTCAGAAATGGTGATCTCCAAATGTGATGGACCAAGGAATTCTGAAATTCTCAGCCAGCTTGGTTGCCTTTCTGGGTGTTGGCTTCCCATATCGTGCATGTGCTACAAAATTCTGGATATGTTCAAGCCTGTATTGTGTGAATAAAAGTTGCAAAACGAAATATTTATCTTACTGCATTTGTTAGGAATTCTTTTTAAAGTGATCCAGATGGTATTAAGTAATGATCTGACAAGAGATTTGCTGAGTCACTGCAAGGAGATATCCAGGTACAAATAGTCCTCAATTATGACCCTAATTGAGTGCTAAATTTCTGTTGCTAAGGAAGACAGCTGTTAAGTGAGTTTTGCTGCATTTCATGACCTTTCTGGCCACCTTTGTTAAGTGAATCACTGCAGTTGTTAAGTTAGTAATATAGTTGTAAAGTGAATCTGGGTTCTCCATTGACTTGCTTCTCAGGTGGTCACAAAAGGTGATCACGTGACCCTGGGACTCTGCAATCGTCATAAATATGAGTTAGTTGCCAATTTTGATCATGTGATCATGGGGTTGCTGCAACAGTCATATGAAAAACAGTCATAAGTCACTGCTTTCAGTACCATTGTATCTTTCAACAGACACTAAATGAACTGTTGTAAGTTGAGGACTATCTGTATTTGGAAGATAAAATTATTACTTGGAGTTCTCATTGTGTTTGTTAAGTCTTGGGTTGTTGTTGGTTTTTTTCATTAAAATGTGTAAGCTACAGAGAGTAACTTCTGTAATTGAGACATCAAACAAGCTAGCTAAATACTATAAATATATAAAATCAGACTCTTGGAAATGGATGCCAGCTGGGTAAGTCCTAATGAGGTACCTGAGACCCCAGATTGAGAATTCCTTCAGAGAGACTGATGGTGATATTGATGAGGTATTTAATGGGGACTTTTGATTAACCACTCTGTCATGTTGCACTGACTATAGCAGTATTTCTGAACTTCAGCAACTTTAAGATGGGTGGACTTCATGACTGGCTAGGGAACTCTGGGAGTTAAAGTCCACCCATCTTAAAAGTTGCTGAGCTTGGAAGATGCTAGTGTAAACTCACCCTTCCCTATGATCTGAATTACAGGGAATTATAGAGAGGGCAAGAAGCAGGAAGTACATAAACTAATTTAAAATAGCTTCTTGTTGATTACAAATGTGATGTGTAGACGAGAATTGCTTGTTTTGCTGATAAAAAAGATTGCTTATCTTGCCAACAGCAAATCCAGTGTTCCTAGAATAAAAATATTGTTGGGACAACAATATCACAGTCCAACAAACTAGCATTTTCTTTGGGGGGGGGTGTATTATACAATGCTAGCAAGGATGGTATTTGGAAAAATGATTGGGATTAGGAAAGGGATCCATTGTAACCATTAAGTGCTTATCTGTTGCCCAAGATGTGTTTGCCTAGTTGGGCAATAAGTTAGATGAGCCAAGTCATTTTGTAGATTTCTAAGGACCTTAGGAAATAAAATACTTCATGGCTGCTTAGGCACAAATTCGTACATTGACCTGTCAACAAAAACTGCTCAGTATGGAGGCTGAACAAATTAGGATCTGATTAACAAGATCAGTTTTGATGAACTCTTGCAACTACTTGTAAACCATGATTGAAGAATTCGGTCTATAAAAATATTACTTTGCAATACATGTAGTTCAAGATGAGTCAGTAATCATCATAAGCACTTGGTTTTAGAATTTTGCATTCATTAATTTGCATTTTGTGATGTCTACACAAAACATTTATCTTGCTGAAAACATCTTTACTCTTCAGCTACATAAGTTTGTACCACATTCCTCTATATTTGGTCATGTTTCCTGGGAAAGTTAAAACAAGTATTTTCCTGAAGAAATTGCTGGAAGTTTGCTGAAGGTGTCAGATTGCATCATGTTTAGCTGTTAAATCGTCTTTCTGTAATGATTGCTACTTGGCCCTGCCCGAGCTCCTCGACGTGATAGCCATGGTGGCAGTTGATACACCCAGGCTTATGGTCATGGGTGATTTCAACTTGCCGTCCATCGGTGAAACGTCTGAGATGGCTCGGGAGTTCATGGCTTCCATGACGGCCATGGACCTGACCCAACTAGTTCATGGCCCCACCCACAGGGGAGGACACACTCTGGACTTGATTTTTGTCTCTCGCCAGTGGTTGAGTGATCTTATTATAGGGGATATAGACATGGAACCCTTGTCATGGTCAGATCACTCACTCCTTCGCCTGGACCTTCGAACCGCTACACCCCGCCGCAGGGAGGCGGAGCCCCAGGCGCCTGATGGATCCTGATAGGTTCCAGATGGAGCTTGGGCCATTTCCTGAGGATCTAGCACATGACTCGGCTGAGGACCTGGTAGCCGCCTGGGATCGGGTGGCTGGTGGGGCCTTGGACCGAGTCGTGCCTTTGCGGCCTCTGACCTGGTGCCGATCCTGCGCAGCTCCTTGGTTTACTGAGGAGCTGAGGGAAATGAAGCGCCGGAAAAGACACCTGGAGAGCGGTTGGAGGGCCAGTCTCGCTGAATCTGATCGAACACTGGTAAGGTCGCATATTAAGACCTACCTAGTGGTGATAAAGACGGCAAAGTTTAATTACTTTTCCGCCTCTATTGCATCATCAGGGAATCGTCTGGCCGCCCTGTTTAGGGTGACCCGCTCCCTGCTCCATCCGGGAGTGCGGGAGGATCCCCTGGAAGGCAGGGCGGAGGATTTCGGACAATACCTGTATGACAAAATCGCTCAGATCCGGGGGGATTTGGACTCTGACTGGGTAGATCAGGGCAGGGTGACGAGGAATAGTCTTGAAAATGTTATCTGGGAGGAGTTTGATGCTGTGACTCCCGATGATGTGGACAGGATTTTGGGGAGACTTAGTACGGCCACATGTTTACTGGACCCGTGTCCCTCCTGGTTGGTACTGGCTTCCCGGGAGGTTACACGAGGCTGGCTCCAGGGTATTATCAACGCTTTGTTGAGTGAGGGTTACTTCCCCGCTGCCTTGAAAGAGGCGGTGGTGAGGCCTCTCCTCAAGAAGCCGTCCCTGGATCCGGCAATATTGGCCAACTATCGTCCTGTCTCCAACCTTCGCTTCATAGCGAAGGTTGTTGAGAGTGTGGTCGCGCAACAGTTTCCACAATTCCTGGAGGAAACATCTTATCTAGATCCGTTCCAGTCGGGTTTCAGGTCTGGGCACAGCACGGAAACAGCATTGGTTGCGTTGGTTGATGATCTCTGGAGGGCTCAGGACAGGGGTTGCTCCTCTGTTCTAGTCCTGTTAGACCTCTCAGTGGCTTTTGATACCATCAACCATGGTATCATGCTGCACCGGCTGGAAGAGTTGGGGGTGGGAGGCACCGTATTGCGGTGGTTCTCCTCCTTTCTCTCCGACCGGTCGCAGTTTGTGTTGGTAGGGGGGCAGAGGTCGACCTCGAGGCCTCTCGTCTGTGGAGTGCCGCAGGGATCGGTCCTCTCGCCCCTTCTGTTCAACATTTATGTGAAGCCGCTGGGCGAGATCATCCGTGGCTTCGGGGTGAGATACCATCAGTACACTGATGACACCCAGCTGTACATCTCCACCCCAGGCCACCCCAACGATGCCCTTGAAGTGATGTCTCAGTGCCTGGAGGCTGTGCGGATCTGGATGGGGAGGAACAGGCTCAAGCTCAACCCTTCCAAGACTGAGTGGCTGTGGCTCCCGGCATCCCGATATAGTCAGTTGACTCCATCACTGACTATTGGGGGCGAGTCCTTGGCCCCCACAGAAAGGGCTCACAATCTGGGAGTCCTCCTGGATATGCAGCTGTCCTTGGAGGAACATCTGACGGCTGTAACCAGGGAGACCTTTTATCAGGTTTGCCTGATTCGCCAGTTGCGGCCCTTTCTTGATCGGGATTCCCTGTGCACAGTCACTCACGCCCTCGTCACCTCTCGCCTTGACTACTGCAATGCTCTCTACATGGGGCTCCCCTTGAGGGGCACCCGGAGGCTCCAGCTGGTCCAGAACGCAGCAGCGCGGGTAGTGATGGGAGCAGCATGGCGCTCCCATGTAACACTGCTCCTGCGCGAGCTGCACTGGCTTCCGGTGGTCTTCCGGGTGCGCTTCAAGGTGTTGGTTATCACCTTTAAAGCGCTCCATGGCATAGGGCCTAGCTATCTTCGAGACCGCCTGCTGCTACCGACGACCTCCCAGCGACCCGTGCGCTCCCACAGAGAGGGCCTCCTCAGGGTGCCATCAGCCAAACAATGTAGGCTGGTGACCCCCCAGGGGGAGAGCCTTCTCTGTGGGGGCACCTACCCTCTGGAATCAGCTGCCCCCAGAGATAAGGAGAATCCAAGACCTCAGTGCCTTCCGCCGTGCCCTTAAAACCCACTTTTTCCAGCAAGCCGGGCTGGCTTAGGAAGAAATTTTTTAAAATTTCTAAATGTTTAATTGGTTTGTGGTTTTTTAAATTTTGGGCCAAATTTATATAGATTTTAATTGTTTTTAATATTTGTATTTCATGTTTTTAATTCTGGCTGTGCACCGCCCTAAGTCCTCAGGGAGAAGGGCGGTATATAAATTGAAAAATAAAAAATAATAAATATATATATATAAACCAGCAATTAACTGAATTCTGTGCTAATTGTAGAGGCAGAGTATTCCATGCCAGACAGATTTTTGCTTTGTTTTTTGTTTGCTGAAGTTAGATTTGAAGTGGCTCAACTGTGGTTAATAATTAATAATTATTTGACTGTTAAATTGCAGTATCTGAGTAAATGTGAAAAAAAAAGATTAAAGTTTTAAGTGATGTAAAAAGTACTGGAGAAGAAAATTCCATCAAAATGCAAACTTGAAGAGAATCAGCTACAAATCCCATCCATTTGTTGTAATTCAAATATATTTTGAAGAATTTTTTTTAGACTAGCATTTTTTAGGTTAAGGATTTCTGTACGCTATCTGAGTTAGTATGATGTAATTGCTGGATCAAGAGCCTGGAGATGTTGAGTGGTAGTTTTGTCAATGACCTTGGTTCAGTCTCTCAATCTTAGGAAGAAGACAGTAGCAAATCATTTCTGAAAATAAAAACTGCAGGCATTTAATCCTTTAGCCACCAGGAACCAGGTTGCCTCAATGGACCATAACAACTCTTTGCATCCAGCCTCATTTTAATGCTATGATGGAATGTTTCATGATGCACTTTCTAGCATTTTACCTGAAGTTTCCCTATATCTTACTGTTGTCAAAGTTGTTCTGTTGAAAGGAAGAGTAGGGAATAATTTAAAAAGTAATATATTAAACTACTGTATGATTGTCTAAAATTGTGAGGATGAAGCAGTTTCTTTTGAAAATCTTGAGCTCCCTCTAATGGCAGTTTTTGAATCGTATGAGGTAAATATATTAAGGTTTCTTTAACTTGGTGTCCTCCAGAAATATTAAGTTAATAGTCTCATAATTTCCACTAGGGTGACCTTTTTCTACAAATTATGGGTGTTTCAGTGCAGGACTTCAGCAAGGTACTAGTCCAAGGAATCTCTTGCATAAATAACCGTCTAAGCATCCTTAGAAACAAACAGGAATATTTAAAAAAAAGACGATTTGGAATTATAGATTACAGATCAGTTGGTATGCAAACCAGAGCTGTTTGGTAGGATTAGGATTTATTGTATTGTGCAACATCCCCTCCCCAAATGGGTTAATTCAGTAACCAGGTTAAATGCTTAATAGGTTAAATACAGTCAATGACTGCAGGAACACAGTTCAATTTCACTTAAATGCAAGAAGAGAATTTCTCTGCGAGAAAGCAAATTCTCTTTCAACAAACCAAATGAGTGCCAACAGAAAATGCAGAATTAGTGCGAAAAAGCGCAGCTTGGAGTAAATATATTCTTGACTTTTATGAACCATCATCTAGTTCGTTTCTGCAAGGCCCACAGCCTGAAGTTAGTCTGCTCTTCAGAAACCGCACACACAAGGCACTAATTGTGAAAGTTCTTTATTCTGAAGTTATTTCCAAAAGGATGCTTTTTTCAGGGATTCCATACTTTCAAAGACGGATTAAAAAAAATGTTGGTGGGGAGTTCTCCCTTATCATTACAAAGCCAATACAGAGGGGGGGGGGAAGATCTAGAACAAAAACTGCCACAAAGTGTAGCCTTTCATCTCCAACTCTTCTGAGAGGACCTTTTTCATTTCAGTTTCAAAACTCCGCTCACATTTGATAACAGAGTCACAAAAAATATATTCTTTTTTGTTCCTATCTAGAGGCCAAATATTTTCCTTTCTTAGTTTTATGTTCAAATAGTTTTAGGGAGTAAACCACCCTGAAAGAGTGGAATATAATTCTAAGTAAATAAACATAGGATTGAACCATTTCAGAAATGCAGAGCTAGAAGGTTAAGGCAACATCTGTTTTCCAACCCACACCCTTCACCTCTCTAATCATTCCCTCCACCAAAAGGCTATGCTGGAGGTAGAAAAAAATTCTCCTGGAGAATTTTTCACTCTGGATCTCCTTCCAGAGGAGGCTGTGTGGATATTGTCTTTCTTCATGACATTTTAGAAATATTGTAAGTTTTAGAGCCTTTCATCATCTCTGATAATTTTAATATTTGATGGTGAAACATCAGCTTGGTCCAGCTGTTATTTTATAGTGATTTTACTGTACTGCAATGTAGTTTATTTTTAAATTCAAGCCTTATTGCATTTAAAAAAAAACCCAAAAACCTCCACTAATAAATACTTTCAAAAATAATAATAAATAATAGTGCAGTCTTCCTACATCTGCTATCTTTCTATGTGCTGGATTACATTCCCTCCAAGAGGCTATGGTTGGGAGGTACAAAAAATATTTTTTACTCATAGAATCATCACTGGATCTCCTTCCAGAGGAGGCTGTGTGGATATTGTCATTCCTCATGACATTTTAGAAATATTGTAGGTTTTAGAGCCTTTCATCATCTCTGATAATTTTAATATTAGTTGATGGTGAAACAAGCTTGGTCCAGCTTATTTTGTAGTGATTTTACTGTACTGCAATGTAGGTTTTTTTTTTAATTCAAGCCTTACTGCATTTTAAAACTAAAAAAACAAAAACCTCCACTGATAAATACTTTCAAAAAATAATAATAGTGCAGTCTTCCTACAACTGCTATCTTTCTATGTGCTGGATTACATTCCCTCCAAGAGGCTATGTTGGGAGGTACAAAAAAAAAGTAATATTTTTTCCCATAGAACCATCACTCTGGATCTCCTTCCAGAGGAGGCTGTGTGGGTATTGTCATTCCTCATGACATTTTAGAAATATTGTAGGTTTTAGAGCCTTTCATCATCTCTGATAACTTTAATATTATTTGATGGTGAAACAGTTTGGTCCATCTTATTTTGTAGTGATTTTACTGTACTGCAATGTAGTTTTTTGTAATTCAAGACTTACTGCATTTAAAAAAAAAAAACCTCCACTGATAAATACTTTCAAAAAATAATAATAGTGTAGTCTTCCTACAACTGCTATCTTTCTATGTGCTGGATTACATTCTCTCCAAGAGGCTACGTTGGGAGGTACCAAAATTCCCCCCCCCCTATAGAACCATCACTGGGGATCTCCTTCCAGAGGAGGCTGTGTGGATATTGTCATTCCTCATGACATTTTAGAAGTATTGTAGGTTTTAGAGCCTTTCATCATCTCTGATAATTTTAATGTTAGTTGATGGTGAAACGACAGCTTGGTCCAGCTGTTATTTTGTAGTGAATTTACTGTACTGCAATGTAGTTTTTTTTAAATTCAAGGCCTTATTGGATTAAAGAAAAAACACTGATAAATACTCTCAAAAAATAAGTTCAGCCTTCCTACAACTGCTATCTTTCTATGTGTTGGATTACAACTCACATCACCCCAAAAGCATGACCGTGGTGGCTAAGGTTAAAAATGCAATTCTAGACATCTGCAGAGTCCCAGATGGGGGAAAAGCTACAGCAATATAGTGAAAAATGGATGTGCTTTTTCTTTTACTTTAAAGCAGGGTTTCTCAACCTTGATCAATTTCAGATGTGTGGACTTCAACTCCCAGAATTCCCAAACCTGGGCACTGAAGTCCACATACTTGAAATTTGCCACGGTTGAGAGCTCCTGCTCTGAAGGCCCAACACTGCCTTATTTCTTTAAAAAAAAAAAAAGTAATTTGGCCCCCAAGGAAGGAAGGAAATTTCACCCCAGATTTCCCAAGAAAAGAGGAAAGGAAAAACAAAAGTGCCGTGGAGAGTGAAAGTATCTCAAAAAAAGTATCTTTGGAGAGCCTGCCATGTTGTCTTTCAAAATAGATTAGCTGATTTCTTTGCCTTGGGAGGATTGGTAGAAATGAAGAATTGCCACTGAAGTAACAGGTTGTTGGATTTCATTCCAAATCAGACTCTTGCACATAAGAGATTTTTATTATTATATTATTATTATTATTTTAAAAAGTGGGAAAGGTCAGCTTTCCCCACTGCAACAGCATAAGAGTGGGGAAAGTATTACTGATTTCTTTCTACATATGAACAGTGTAAAAGCAAAGAGTGCCCTGTCCTGCAAGGAACAACATGATGGCCCCACAGACTTCTCTCATCAAAACCATCCCGACTTTACCCACATGTGCCACAGAAAGAAGTGAAGAAAGTGAGAAAAGCAGATTCTGTCCAACACCCCACCAAAGCATGTGTTCCAGGGAACAAACACTGTTCTGCTTGCTAAGAGCATCAAGGGGATACCCAATCTGGTTATCAAATGTTTCTTTCCCGCTACCAAAGCTCTGCAGGAGCCAGATCTAAAATTAGGACCACGGGGCTAACGTGGCCAACAAGTTACCAGATGTGTTTCTGGGGGCAGCCCTGCTTTTCAGCCCAAAGCAACTCATGGTCAGAGGACAGTGTGGGCATCTTGTCCCAGAATCCTTTACAGCATTTACACAATTCATAGGCCCTGTTGTGCTAGCATTCTCTGCCAGGCTGTATGGAATCCTGAAATGTGTGCCTCTTGGACCCTACCTGTGATACAGAACCTGGTGAAATAATACAACCACGGGAATCCCTTCCAAATGTTGTGATCAAAGTGTCCCACTCACCCATCCCATGTTCCTTCTGAAATTACTTCCCTACCACCCAACATGTCAAATTGTGACATGGATAGGATTCTGGAGAGGATCAACAAGGCTTTCTGGGTTATGAGGGTTTATCATGTCCAGACCTCCACTGGACTCTCTCAAGTGGATCCGCTGATGGTACATCATGCTGTGTCTCCGCCTAAACCTCACTCCGCATTCACCACACTCATAGGGTCTTTCTCCTGTGTGAATTCTTAGATGCCGAGTGAGATGAGACTGTCGTCCAAAACGTTTTCCACACTCGGTACAAGGATAGGGTCTCTCACCAGTGTGAGTGATCCGATGCCGAGTCAGATGGGATTGCCGACTGAAGGTTTTCCCACACTCGGTGCAAGGATAGACCTTGGTTCCCAAGTGGGTCTTCTGGTGTCTTGCGAGACTGTAGAGATCATGGAATATTTTCCCACACTCCATGCACTGATAAGCTTGCTTCTCAGTGTGGGTTCGCTGGTGAGCCGCCAGCTCTGATGGCCATATGAACCCCTTCTCACACTCTGTGCAGAAGTAGCGTTTTTCCCCTGTGTGGATACGCTGATGTGTGGCGAGTTCCGACGGCCATCGGAATGCCTTGCCACATTCTCCGCAGAGATGGCGTTTCTCTGCCATGCCAGATCGCGGGTAGGGAGGGTGATGAGGTGGCTGGGTGTTGCTGTTCTCACAATCAGCAATGGGAGACAAACTGTTACCTGCGTGGGTCCTCTGATGGGCTGCCAGCTCCGAGGGCCACTGGAACCCTTTCCCACACTCAGGACAGAGGTAGTGCTTGTTCTTGTTGTGAGTTTTCTGATGAGTAGCGAGTTCAGAGGGCCACCGGAACCCTTTTCCACATTCAGGGCAGAGGTGAGGTTTCTTGACTGTATGAGGTTTTACCATATCACCATTGGGAGGGGCTTTCTCAACTGTAAAAATATTCTGGGTTATATTGAACTCGGAGGGCCACTGACACAAAGTGTCAGCATCCATGGTGTAGTGCGGCTGTTCAATGGCATGGATTCTCTGGTGGATGACTAGCTCCGTGGACCACCGGAATCGCTTGCCACATTCGGTGCAGATATGGCATTCCTCACTCATGTGGGTTTTCTGATGCCTGGTGAGATGTGAAGATCGACCAAACTGTTTACCACACTCAGCGCAGTGATAGGATTTGGGCCGGGTGTGGACTTTTTGATGTAGGGCCAGTTCTGACTGGCAGCGAAATCGCTTCCCGCATTCAATGCAAGGGTGGCGTTTCTCTCTTATGCGTATCCTCTTCGGAGCCAAATGCTGCACTGCTCCATTGGGTCTTTCTCCAAATCCCACCTGGGGATCTGCTCTGTTGGGAGTCTGGGCACCTGCTTTGATGTGGGAATAAAAGAAAATACAAACTGTTTATAGACATCATGTAGCTTTGCTGACTCAATAAACCATGATCAGCCAACTTATATTCATATATATGTATGTGTGTGTGTGTGTGTGTGTGTGTGTGTGTGTGTGTGTGTAGATATATATATATATGCATATTCTTTCTAGCCAGGTTTTATCTACGTAAGCTAAGTTGTTCTACAGCCCTGGTTTACGTAGGTAAAACCTGGCTAGAAAGAATATGCACATAAAAGCCTACGAAAAAGAAAAAGATATATGTGTGTGTGTGTGTGTGTGTGTGTGTGTGTGTGTGTTTTCCTTTTCTTTCGTAGGCCTCCATGTGTTTCTCTTTAGCCAGGTTCTTTCTACGTAAACCAAGATTTTTATGCAGCCCTAGTTCAGTGAAATCACAATCCACTAGTTTCTAGGCTTTTTTCAGGCAGTCAGCAAGCACCCTGCTGCCTGATTGTGATTTCGCTGAACTAGGGCTGCATAAAAATCTTGGTTTACGTAGGAAGAACCTGGCTAAAGAGAAATATACATGGAGGCCTACGAAAGGAAAGGAAAACAAACCTTTACTGGGAGGTTACATAGGATGAGGGTGTGGTTAACTGATGAGAACTAATATGTCTGAAATAGATCTATCTTAGTCTCTTTAGTCTCCCAATCGGCAGCAGGGTGCTTTCTGGCTGCCTGAAAAAAGCCTAGAAACTAGTGGATTGTGATTTCACTTGAACTAGGGCTGCATAAAAATCTTGGTTTACGTAGGAAGAACCTGGCTAAAGAGAAATACACATGGAGGCCTACGAAAGGAAAGGTAAACAAATACTTTACAGGGAGGATACATGGGATGAGGGTGTGGCTAACTGATGAGGACTAATAAGTCCGAAATAGATCTATCTTAGTCTCCTTAGTCTCCCAATGGGCAGCAGGGTGCTTGCTGGCTGCCTGAAAAAAGCCTAGAAACTAGTGGATTGTGATTTCACTGAACTAGGGCTGCATAAAAATCTTGGTTTACGTAGGGAAAACCTGGCTACAGGAAAAACACACATAAACCCTATGAAGAAGTAAGAAAATAGATACTATACCTTTACAGGGAGGATACATAAGATGTGGGTGTGGCCTACTGATGAAAGCAAACGAGCTAGAAATGGATCTATATAGGTCTCCAACCTAGCAGGAAGAGCATGCTAGCTGTTAGAAAAGAAAAAAGCCCAGAATCGAGTGGATGTGATTCTACTGAGCTGGGGCTGCAGAAAAACCTTGGTTATGTAGAGAAAACCTGGCTAGAGGAAAAAAACACACACCCACACACACACACACACACACACACACACATTTGTTTTTGTAGATTTTCACGGGTAGATGTATGCAAGTTTTAGTGTATTTGGATCTTTTCCCGTGTAAGATTGAGAGTATCTTGGCGACGTTTCGACGAGGTCCCACTCGTCATCTTCAGGCTGGTGTCTTCGGCTTCGAAGATGACGAGTGGGACTTCATAGAAACGTCGCCAAGATACTCTCAATCTTACACAGGAAAAGACCCGAATACACCAAAACTTTCTTGGTTTTGAGACACCACATACTCCAATAAGCGCTTCCATGGAAGAGCCTTTTCTTTTTATTTTACACAGCAGATAATGTCCCTGCTAAAGTGGTCTCCTCTCTCAGATTTTCTTAGCTAGCCCTTCTCAACCTAAATCTATCCAGATGTTTTGAGACTTCATTTTCTATAGGAGAGGATTTATTGCAGCACCTGGCTCCTCTGCTCTAGCTGTGAAAGCTAAAGAGGAGTGAAGCTTGGTTAGTATTTTAGATAGGAACTGTAAACTAGATTAAGCAATCAAAGGTCATCACAGAAGAATGCAATGATGGGCCATTTATCCATTAAATCGCCACGAGTCAAGCTCTGCTTGAAGACTTCACCTTATTTCTTTTGGGCCATATTGTCAGAAACTCTAGTTGTAATCCCATAATATTTGGGATAACAGAGAGATCTGGTAGTGCCATGGTTAAAGTACAGTATTGTGGGCAAACTCTGTCTACAGTCTGGAGCTTGATCCTGATGGGGCTCAAGGTTGATTTAGCCTTCCATCATTCCAACATCGGTAAAATGAGGACCCAGATAGTTGGAGGCAATGTGCAAATAATGCTGACATTGTAAATCACCCAGATACTGTTATAAAGCACTATGGGTTGGTATATAAGTCTAAATGTTTTTGTTATTGCTATATTTAGGTCTCCATTTACATTATTCATTGTAATAACATACCTTACATATGATAATAACATGTAAACAGAAAGGTACAATCTGAAGTTTTATCCAAAGCAGGGACAATAGCATCTACAGCAAATGTGACTGATACCCAAACATGCAACATCTGGTATCATCACACAAATGACCCAAGTAAATATTTGGGTTAAGACATCTGATATAAATTCATAAGTCAGGACATTTGTGTGATGAAGTTTATCTCACACAAATTATTAGTTATTTCCTTGCAGATGCTACGAGCAAAGAACTAGTGGCTTTTTAGCTGTGGTTGGGATTCTAACTCCCATCTCCCCAGATCAAAGGTCAGGAATGATAAGAATTGTATAGGTAGTCCTCAATTTACAATCACAATTGAGCTCCAAATTTCTGTTGTTAAGTGAGAAGTTTAGTGACTTTCCCATTTTACGACATTTCTTACCACAGCTGTTAAGTGAATTACTGCAGTTGTTAAGTTAGTAACCCAGTTGTTAAGTGAATTTGGCTTCCCCATTGACTTTGCTTGCCAGAAGATTGCAAAAGGGGATCACATGACCCCGGGAACACTGCAGCCATCATAAATATCTACTAATTGCCAAATATCTGAATTCTGATCATGTGACTGTGAGGATGTTGCAAAGGTCACAACTGCGAGAAATGGTCATAAGTCACTTTTTTCACTGCCGTTCTAACATTGAACAGTCACTAAATGAACTGCTGTAACTCGAGGACTACCTGTAGTTGATAATCAAAAAGACAAGCAGTTCCCCCAAATGATTTAATTTTCAGTCTGAATAATTTTTATTAAAAAGTGATTCCTCTGTTCCTTATAAAGACAGCCAAATTTTGCTAGCTTCAAACACTATAATTTTCCTCTGTCCCATGTACTTATTCCAGAGTAAAACATCACTGAATTAAAAAAAAAACTTGTTGCTTAGTCTGCATTAACTAATAATCCATATAATTGACAATTAGCATTTATTATTAAGTTGACTAAAACAACATAGGCCTTTTAATTGGCGAAATAGCCTCTTTGCTACATTTAAGGCATTTTCCCCAAAGTACAAGCCAGTGTTACAATTCAACCAGGCAGCATAAATAACAGTACATCTGGTTTCTATCTTTCAATTATGCTCATATTGTTATTATTGTTGTTGTTACTATTATTAAAGCATATATTTCTAGCTCCTATCATTATGATGATAATATGATTAAGCAATGCTGGAAAAATTGTAGAAACTAGACATAGATGGCTGTAGGGGTCTGCAGTTTGCATTTGTGCAGGGATTTTCCTATCTTGGATGGTAAACCTCAGATAAAGAAGGTTATTTGCACGTAGGCATTAAGACCCTAACTCTGTAAATAAGAGGAACAGCAGGAGAGGAAATGGGATATATGAGTATTAGACTTTAATTAAAGTCTAACATTATAAGTCTTAAGCAAAGCAGTAATGGTTAACCAAAGACTCTAGTTACCTGGAAGATTCTGTAGCCAATGAGATGCTGCCAAGTACTCTGTAACTTGAAAGTAACAAACTATATAATGTCACTATGTAAGACAATAAAATCACCACATACATCCTCAACCTTTGTTTGTGTGTGGTCATTCTACAAGTGGCGCCTGAACAGGGACCCTTACTTCGTCCAGCAAGGACTTTGGTGCACCAGACAGCCTTTGTGGCTTCTTTAACCATTTAAAGGTTTCTGTAAGTAATGGGGGCCTCGCTTTCTGAGGGACAAAGAAAGCATGCTGAAGAATTAAGCTATTTACTTAAGAAAAATCACATTGATGTGCCACAAAGCAGTCTCTTAAGGCTGGTCCAAGAGATTGCAAATAAGTGTTTATGGTACTCAGAAAAGGGATCTTTAAGATTATCTGATTGGGAAAAAATTGGGAAAGTTTTGCATGCTGAACCAAGAGCTAAGGTAGAGATTTTGCAGGTATGGCATTTATGTAGATATGCAGTGGAAAAATTTGGAAATACTGAACTGTCTCTTTTAACTCCTTCACCTCCAAGTTATTCCAATGCTGTTGTCTGTCCTCCTTCCTCTCCAGAATATGTGATTCTGCCTCCTTCAGCTCCTACTGACACAGGTCAGATTGCTAAACCTTTTAACTCTGTTGTTCAGTCTTTTCAGAAGATGGTGAAATCCTGTAAACAGGATTCCTTCATGCCTGGGGAAGAAATTGCTGAATTATTGTTGTCTGTATGTCCTGTACAATATCATCAGGGCCAGGGCCAATTGGCAGGACAGCAGATTGCAGAATGGGAAGGACTGCCTTATAAAATTTTAAGAGAACTAAAAAAAGCTATCACTGATTATGGTATTAGTGGTAATTTTACTAGAGGCTTGGTGGAAGGAATAAAAAATGGATATAATATGATTCCTGAAGATTGGAAGCAAGTTTTCCGAATGATGTTGACTTCAATGCAATATGTTGTTTGGGAAAGTGAATTTATGAGACATGCCCAAGCTACTGCTCTGGGAGGTGGGGGAGCATACACGGTGGAACAACTCTTTGGCTCAAGTCAATTTGCTTCAATTCCTGCCCAAACGGTGCTTCCTCCAGCTACCTTCTCATAAAAAGGGGTGCTTTGTAGTCCCTGGTGTTATTGATTCTGATTACACTGGAACTCTTTATTCAGGCTTGGGTGAATCTTCCTAAAACTCTTTCTGATCAATCGTCTATTGCTCAATCCTCTCTGTTACTTCCTTTCTTAACTCTCTATTTGAATAAGCAACCTTTTCAAGGGTTACTTGATACTGAAGCTTGGTAAAGCATACAAGAGATTCAATTCTCCACAGCAGCTGGTAAGTCCTTTGCCCTGCAACCTTATATTTTGTTATTCATACTAATATTTGGGGTCGGGACCTCCTTTCTTTTTTAAATACAAAATTGATTTTGGATGATGGCTCTTCTCCTTAAGTGGCTCTCTACAGTCCCCATGTGGTATTTTTAATAATAGCATGCCAACCAAACGATATCATTGGCGTGTTTTACCACAGGGCATGCTTAATTCTCCTACTTTGTCCAGTATTTTGTGGACAATGTACTGCTGCCATTTCGTGAGAAATTTCCATCTTATTTGGTTTATCATTACATGGATGATATCTTAATAGCTGCTCCTCAGTTTGATTCTATAGCCCTTCTGCAAGAATTAAAAACTATTGTTGCACAGAAGGGGTTGTTTATTGCAAATGATAAAATTCAGAAAACTGAACCTTACTTATACTTGGGTCATAGGTTACTGAAAGCTTCTTCCATTCCAGTATTGCCTGACTTAAAGGTACAAAAGTCTTATACTTTAGTTCAATGGCGTGATTTCACTGAACTAGGGCTGCATAAAAATCTTGGTTTACGTAGGGAAAACCTGGCTACAGGAAAAACACACATAAACCCTATGAAGAAGTAAGAAAATAGATACTATACCTTTACAGGGAGGATACATAAGATGTGGGTGTGGCCTACTGATGAAAGCAAACGAGCTAGAAATGGATCTATATAGGTCTCCAACCTAGCAGGAAGAGCATGCTAGCTGTTAGAAAAGAAAAAAGCCCAGAATCGAGTGGATGTGATTCTACTGAGCTGGGGCTGCAGAAAAACCTTGGTTATGTAGAGAAAACCTGGCTAGAGGAAAAAAACACACACCCACCCCCCCACACACACACACACACACACACACACACATTTGTTTTTGTAGATTTTCACGGGTAGATGTATGCAAGTTTTAGTGTATTTGGATCTTTTCCCGTGTAAGATTGAGAGTATCTTGGCGACGTTTCGACGAGGTCCCACTCGTCATCTTCAGGCTGGTGTCTTCGGCTTCGAAGATGACGAGTGGGACTTCATAGAAACGTCGCCAAGATACTCTCAATCTTACACAGGAAAAGACCCGAATACACCAAAACTTTCTTGGTTTTGAGACACCACATACTCCAATAAGCGCTTCCATGGAAGAGCCTTTTCTTTTTATTTTACACAGCAGATAATGTCCCTGCTAAAGTGGTCTCCTCTCTCAGATTTTCTTAGCTAGCCCTTCTCAACCTAAATCTATCCAGATGTTTTGAGACTTCATTTTCTATAGGAGAGGATTTATTGCAGCACCTGGCTCCTCTGCTCTAGCTGTGAAAGCTAAAGAGGAGTGAAGCTTGGTTAGTATTTTAGATAGGAACTGTAAACTAGATTAAGCAATCAAAGGTCATCACAGAAGAATGCAATGATGGGCCATTTATCCATTAAATCGCCACGAGTCAAGCTCTGCTTGAAGACTTCACCTTATTTCTTTTGGGCCATATTGTCAGAAACTCTAGTTGTAATCCCATAATATTTGGGATAACAGAGAGATCTGGTAGTGCCATGGTTAAAGTACAGTATTGTGGGCAAACTCTGTCTACAGTCTGGAGCTTGATCCTGATGGGGCTCAAGGTTGATTTAGCCTTCCATCATTCCAACATCGGTAAAATGAGGACCCAGATAGTTGGAGGCAATGTGCAAATAATGCTGACATTGTAAATCACCCAGATACTGTTATAAAGCACTATGGGTTGGTATATAAGTCTAAATGTTTTTGTTATTGCTATATTTAGGTCTCCATTTACATTATTCATTGTAATAACATACCTTACATATGATAATAACATGTAAACAGAAAGGTACAATCTGAAGTTTTATCCAAAGCAGGGACAATAGCATCTACAGCAAATGTGACTGATACCCAAACATGCAACATCTGGTATCATCACACAAATGACCCAAGTAAATATTTGGGTTAAGACATCTGATATAAATTCATAAGTCAGGACATTTGTGTGATGAAGTTTATCTCACACAAATTATTAGTTATTTCCTTGCAGATGCTACGAGCAAAGAACTAGTGGCTTTTTAGCTGTGGTTGGGATTCTAACTCCCATCTCCCCAGATCAAAGGTCAGGAATGATAAGAATTGTATAGGTAGTCCTCAATTTACAATCACAATTGAGCTCCAAATTTCTGTTGTTAAGTGAGAAGTTTAGTGACTTTCCCATTTTACGACATTTCTTACCACAGCTGTTAAGTGAATTACTGCAGTTGTTAAGTTAGTAACCCAGTTGTTAAGTGAATTTGGCTTCCCCATTGACTTTGCTTGCCAGAAGATTGCAAAAGGGGATCACATGACCCCGGGAACACTGCAGCCATCATAAATATCTACTAATTGCCAAATATCTGAATTCTGATCATGTGACTGTGAGGATGTTGCAAAGGTCACAACTGCGAGAAATGGTCATAAGTCACTTTTTTCACTGCCGTTCTAACATTGAACAGTCACTAAATGAACTGCTGTAACTCGAGGACTACCTGTAGTTGATAATCAAAAAGACAAGCAGTTCCCCCAAATGATTTAATTTTCAGTCTGAATAATTTTTATTAAAAAGTGATTCCTCTGTTCCTTATAAAGACAGCCAAATTTTGCTAGCTTCAAACACTATAATTTTCCTCTGTCCCATGTACTTATTCCAGAGTAAAACATCACTGAATTAAAAAAAAAACTTGTTGCTTAGTCTGCATTAACTAATAATCCATATAATTGACAATTAGCATTTATTATTAAGTTGACTAAAACAACATAGGCCTTTTAATTGGCGAAATAGCCTCTTTGCTACATTTAAGGCATTTTCCCCAAAGTACAAGCCAGTGTTACAATTCAACCAGGCAGCATAAATAACAGTACATCTGGTTTCTATCTTTCAATTATGCTCATATTGTTATTATTGTTGTTGTTACTATTATTAAAGCATATATTTCTAGCTCCTATCATTATGATGATAATATGATTAAGCAATGCTGGAAAAATTGTAGAAACTAGACATAGATGGCTGTAGGGGTCTGCAGTTTGCATTTGTGCAGGGATTTTCCTATCTTGGATGGTAAACCTCAGATAAAGAAGGTTATTTGCACGTAGGCATTAAGACCCTAACTCTGTAAATAAGAGGAACAGCAGGAGAGGAAATGGGATATATGAGTATTAGACTTTAATTAAAGTCTAACATTATAAGTCTTAAGCAAAGCAGTAATGGTTAACCAAAGACTCTAGTTACCTGGAAGATTCTGTAGCCAATGAGATGCTGCCAAGTACGCTGTAACTTGAAAGTAACAAACTATATAATGTCACTATGTAATTCAATAAAATCACCACATACATCCTCAACCTTTGTTTGTGTGTGGTCACTCTACAGATGGCTGGAATAGATTTCCAACAGTTGGAATTACAGCTAGACCTCGACCACAATTGAGCCCAAAACTTCTGTTACTAAGCGAGACATTTGTTAAATGAATTTTATCCCATTTTACGACCTTTCTTGCCACAGTTGTTAAGTGAATTGCTGTAGCTGCTAAGTTAGTGACCCAGTTGTTAAGTGAACCTAGCTTCTCCATTGATTTTGCTTGTCAGAGGGTTGCAAAAGGGAATCACATGACACTGAGACCCTGCAATCGTCATAGATGAGTCAGTTGCTAAGCGTCTGAATCTGGATCACAGGACCATGGGGATACTACAATGATTGTAAGTATAAAAAAGGGACATCACTTTTTTTCAGGGCCTTGTAACTTTGAATGGTCTCTAAATGAACTACTGTAAGCCGAGGACTACCTGTGCATCCTCAACTCCCTGGCTGAAATTTTGTCAGCTACTCCCCCACAAGACTGTCTTGTTAAATGGAAGAATTGAAAGCTTCTTGTTTTCACCATTATCATGCCAAAGAAGCCCATGATTGCTAATCCATTAAAAAGAAAGAATACTCTACTTGTCTGGTACACAATTATCAAAATAAGATTATTCAGATGCAGAAGAAAATCTGAATTCATCTGCTTCATCGGTAAGTACTAAATGAGCTTGAGGGCCATTAAGGACAGCAGTCTTTAGGCAATTAGCAAAAACCAATGCCTTTTACTAATGAGAGACAGTGTTTTGGAGTTCAGAAAACCGTAAAGACTTTTCATTGCTATAGCCAAGGTGGCCAGCCTTTTGATAGCTGAAGCCTGCCCTCAGAATGGGGTTGGAGGAGGGAGATAAGATCACAGCAATTCAAAATAAGTTGGGTCAGGAGCCCTTATTCTGAAGTAGAAAGCCTCATCCTCCTTGCAGGATTTCTTCCTACATGCTGCTGTAGAAGGAAAGGTCTCGACTCACCTGAACCTCCTCCTCCTCTTGCTTCATCTGCAGAAGAATCCCAAGTGGCTTCTGTGTCAGAAGAATCTATGCAAGAAAGGGAAAAATCCAACTCTAAAGCTTACTTGAAAACATGTCTCAGGATTTGTAAAGAATACTCACCAACACAAGACACTTTTTTAGATCTTTTAGGAGGAAAGCTGGCAAATCAAATCTTTATTATGGTCTAAGATCAGCATATTGGAAAGCTGGCAGGTTTCTGCCTGATAGCACTGGTTAGCCATTGTATTTTTCAGACTCTGATGGGATTGTGGAATCCAATGCCAAGGGCACCATAGGAATAGATTGCATTATCCAGGGAAAATGAACATACATTGTTCCAAATTCACTTCACTGGAGTTCCATGAAAAAAAACAAGGTGTCTATGTGGTTTAATTGTAGCCCAGTTGAAAAAGAAAATTGCACCCCAAAGCAAAAAAATATTGGGAACAGATAAGGGGATGGCTGTAGGAGATAACAGGAGAACAAATTGAATTTAAAGCTGAACTATTTTTATTAGGAATGATTAACCAAAAGATCAAGAAGTAACTCCAATGCATTATTATACACATAGTAACAGCAGCGAGAATTGTCTATGCCCAATGCTGGAAACTAGAAAATATACCAGCCAAGGAGATGATTATATACAAGATACTAGAATGTGCTGAGATGTATAGGCTCACGTTAGAAATGAAAGGCAAGGAAGAAGCAGAATTTTATGAGGTGTGGGATAAGTGGTATAACTAGTTAGAATAGAGAAACAAGAATGTAGGACTTCCAGTTGGCGTCGCGGGGATCCAGACGGTGGAATAGCGGGGCTCTTAGGAGCCCCGCAAAAACCCCATCAGTTATGCCACCACTGGCAAGTTTACGGACCTACCCTGTCCTGGGGGAAAGAGAGGGACCCCTCGGTTGGCCAAGAGGAACAGGCAGGTTCCTCGGGGCCGGAGGATTACCCTCTGTTTTGGCGGCGGCTCAGCAGCAGCCCTGGTGGCTGCCTCGAGGCTGTGGCAATCAGGAAAAGTGATGTGCAGGAGGAAGAAGTGAAGAAATAGAGCAAACTGTTTGGAAACCGGGTAAGTGATTTAACCCAGGCAGGAACAGCACTTAAAAATGGATTTCAAAAAGAGAGCCCCTAGCCTTAAACAGCGGCTACAGACTCTGGGGGCAAGAAGATTTAAAAAGTTATTTTGCTGGAGGAAGAGACCCATCTATGAACTACCCTTATTATTGAATGCCGTGGAATGGCTGTTAGTTGGAAATTGTAAACTTTGAAACTCTTTGTCATTGAAATGGATTACTTTTGGAGAGATAAAGAGGGAAGAGGTGGTAAGCAGAAATTTTTTGAAGCAACCGGGAAAGCTCAGCGGAGAATTACAGCTAAAATGGAGTCATGCCATAGAGAAGTGAAAGTTTAAACCTGTGGATTGCTTTTGAATTAACTCAGACACAATGTATCTTGTTACCTAAATTATTATGAAAATAATTAAGGAGCTCTAACTTTGGGGATTTTTAACTTGTTTATTGGTGGTATTAAGGAAAGAAAGAAGAAATAAGAAACAAGACGGAACAATTTAAACTATCTAAGTAGACGTGGCAGAGGAAGCTAAAATGGTTGCCTGTTAAGAAGTGAAAGTGAAAACTGTGGACTGCTTGCTACTTAAAGGAGAAACTTTGACTCTTGCTTTCTCAATTGGATTGTTTTGAAGGAAAACTAAAAAAGTTTGATTTTAGATGTACTTATTTCGTTTTTAGACTACCTATGGATAATTGGAAAGAAGGAATTAACTGGTCAATTAAAACTGTTGACTAAAGGCGAGGCAACAAAAGGAAAGGGCGTAAAAATGGAAGAGGACATGACAATATCACATAGGCAACAAAAAAGAACTAAACTCTTTAGTCTTTATAACTTTACTGATATTGGAATTGAAAAGAAGGGGGAAAAAATTTGGGTATCAAGATGGAAAATATTACAGTCTGATTAAAATGGATGTAAATGTTTTTTATGCAATTGATGTTTAAATAATATAAGGAGATTTCCTCTTCCTTCTTTTACTCTCTTTTTTACTTTTTCTCTTTTTTTTTATTTTTTTTATTATTCTTTCATTTTATTCCTCTCTTCCTTTTTTCTGTTCCTTTGTGGAATTCTTTTTTTTTAATCTTTTCGCCATATCTTTATCTTTTATTTTTTTTATTTTTTTATTCTTTATTATTCCCTTTTCCCTTTCTCTTTCCTTTTTTACTTTTCATTACTATTATTAAGAGAAGTGATTTTTAAGGTGGGAAAAATCTGATTTTAGAGAAACTATAAGAAATATAAAGAGTATGAATGAATTTTTGATTATTAATAAGAATTATTGACAGATTTAATGATTACAGAAATTTGCTTTTCTAAAGGGTCTAAAATATTGTTTTTTACAGAAAATAAGAATTTTTTTTTACAGAAAATAAGAAAATGTTAATGAAGCCTTTAACAAGAATTGTTTATAGATTTTATTTGGCTGTTCACCACCCTGAGTCCTTCGGGAGTAGGGCGGTATACAAATTCAATAAATAAATAAATAAATAAAATTTTAAATTATTTTCAAAGCGAGAAATGTTATTATAGAAAAACTACAAGAAATTTGAAGACTATGAAAGAACCTTTTAAGTATTAATAAGAGCATTATGGTTATAGAAAATTGATTTTAAAGTGGATTACAATGTTGTTGTTGGGGTTTTTATTATTTTTTTGTTTTTCTCTTTAAAGTAAATAAGAGAATGGGAACAAATTTTTTTTTGGAATATTAATAAGATTTTCTTATAGATTTTACAATTATGGTAAATTGTTATTGATCAGATGATTAAAGTTAAATTGTGAATTAGTTACATATAAGGTTAGGAGTGGCGGAAAGCATCCCTGGAGAATAGATGATTAGGCTGGTAACCAGCCCAAAATAAACTTAGGAGGAGCGGAGGAGATAAATGCTGGAGAGCAGTTAGAGCCAAACTGTGAACCAGTTAAATATGAGGTAAGGAGTGGAGGAAAGCACCACTGGAAAACAGCTAATTATGCTGTGAACTAGCCAAAAATAAACTTAGAAGGAGTGGAGGAGATAAATGTTGGAGAACAGTTAAAGCCAAACTGTGAACCAGTTAAATATAGGGTAAGGAGTGGAGGAAAGCACCACTGGAAAACAGTTAATTAAGCTGTAAACCAGCCAAAAATAAACCTAGGAGGAGTGGAGGAGACAATGCTGGGACCAGTTAAAATAAACTGTGAACCAGTTAAATATAAGGTAAGGAATGGAGGAAAGCACCACTGGAAAACAGCTGAAAAGACGTTATCCAGATAAAAATAAAACTAGGAGGAGTGAAGGAGAAAATGTTGGAAAGCAGTTAAAACCAAACTGTGATTCAGCCAACAAATAAGGTTAGGAGTGGAGGAACATCGCTGGAAACCAGTTAATTAAGCTGCAATGTAGCCAAAATAAAATTAGGAGTGAAGGAGATATCTTTGAAGAATAGTTACTGATTTTGAAATGTTTTTTAAAGAGAGGAATAAAATATTATGTGTTGATTATTAGATGTGATTTAAAAGAAACTGACTTGATTTGGGTCTTTGAAGTAAGGAGAATATATGAAATACTGATTGTTAAAATGATAAATGAATATTATAAAGAGCTGTTTAGATTTGAAGTTTAAGATTTAGGGTGATTACATAATAGAACGTTAAATGTTAGAATAAGATGTTAGATTGAATGACAAAAATTGGGTTTAGATTTTTTTCTTTTTTTTTCTTTTTTTTTAAAAGATGTTAATTGATGAAATTTGGAATTTATACTTATTTTACACCGGACCAAACCTTTGCTCTAAAAAGATGTTTTATGTTTTATGTGAAAAATAAATTTTAAAAATTTTTTAAAAAAATGTATAGGAATAAATGTAAATATCTGTAAGAGACATATGACACAGTACTGTTAAAGAATGTTTATTGTTATGTAAATTGAAAAGAAAAAGAAAAAGAAAATTGCAGGAATATAATTGGTTTGCTATGTGCATACCATAGACCTCACAAATCACCTATTTTCCTGTCCTTGTCTTGATATGCATTTATCATAGTTTAATCCCCAACCAACTTTCAATTCTGCTTTATTAATTCTATTGTTCATACAAAACAGTTTATTATACTTGAGAAGGATGTCTATGGATATTCTCAGTCATCCAGGTCAGGGTTGTCTCGAAGGTGCTTTTTAAAAAGGCAACTAGACTATGTTTTTTTTTCCTTTGAGGAAGATGATGTTTAGCTTCTTATCCAAGCAGCTTCATCAGTTTTGGTTGGATTTGGGGGTGGGGGGGGTGCGGGAAGGATTAGTTCTGACAAATGTTGGGCAGAGGTGCAGAAGGATTGTATTTCTTTGCAATCATCTGATCATTAGCACTTGGTGTGGAATCTTTTTGGAACTGCAGAAAGGATTGCATTGTAGAGAGGAGATAGACGGTGTCGTATCCCTTCCCCTCTGTTGAGGGAGAGCGGTTCAATTCACACATAGCCTATTACCCCTCTTTCAAACCAATGGTCCTCTCTATTCAGAATGTGGACTTCCCAAAGTAGAGACCATCTATGATAGAATTGAACAGCGCTCTCTCAACAGAGGAAGAGGGATACCACACCATCTATCTCCTGCCTACAACACAGTTCTTTCGGCAGTTCCAAGAAGATTCCACACCCATTTGCACTCTGATTCAGATGACCTTGAGGGCACAGATAAACCCCAAGCGGCCTCAACAGCTCTCAGAGAAAGCACTAACCACCAGATTATTGAAAAGAAATACAATCCTTCCATTCCTACCAAATTTCCAGTCAGAACTAATTCTTTCATTTCTCCCTGCCCGCCCAATCGTCCAGCCAGAATTGACGAAGTTTCTTGGGTGAGAAATGAAACGTCGTGTTCTTCCTCAAAGGAAAAAAAGAGTCCACTTGCCTTTTGAAAATGCACCTCTGAGATTTAAGGAAGATATCACAGAAGACTATGATTTTGTCATATAAGAAGAAAAAGAACAGAATTTAAGGCTCATTGCTTTGACAGGTCTTCAAAACAATGACTATGAATGATGGCATCTGGAGGACACTGGATTGGAGAAGCTAATAGCAATAGCACTTAGACTTGTATACCGCTTCATAATGCTTTTACAGCCCTCTCCAGTGGTCTAGAGTCAGCATATTGCTCCCAACAATCTGAATCCTCATTCTAACCTTGGAAGGATGGAAGGCTGAGTCAACCTTGAGCCTGGTGAGATTTGAACTGCCGAATTTCAGGCAGCTGCCAAGCAGCAGAAGTAGCCTGCAGTACTTCACTCTAACCACTGCGCCACCATGGCTCTTAAATTGAGCTATTCTTAAAAATATACTTAGTCATCTGTTAGGATTTATATTACTGTATAGATTTTAGGTCCTAGCTGTTTACCATTTTATATAATCCTTGCACGGTGGGAATGCATACATCAATAATAATGCATTTAGAGAAAGAAGCAATTCAAAGCACTAAGTAGGTGGATTGATAGATCCTTACCAAGCAAACATATGTCTCCATCAACCTGCTGTCCAGTTTCCATGCATATATCTCCATGCTCAGTATCTGAAAGGACTTGGTCTTCATTAGGAAATGTCACCACTACCTCCTCAAATAAGTCAAAATCCTGAAGATTCATCAAAGAGGCACAATTAAAAAAACTAAAGTTACTAAACTAAGCACGCTTAGAAAAATAAAAATAAACATTTCCTCTCTGAAAAAGAAAATAAAAGGTGTTAAAAATTTGGATGCAGCGCTCCTAGAGGGTCTCTATTTCCTATACAGACCTGGTTGTTTGTCAGGGGGTTGGGGGAATATTTACATTTTATTTTAAAATTCCGTATTCCTGGGTGGGTTTAAGTAGATAGTAGTTGGCCATCTGCAAAGGATACTGTAGTAGATTCCTGTACTGAACAAGAGTTGGATTAGATGTTCTCCAAGATGCCTACCAACTTACCTTCTAGGAAACTAGGGAGGATTTTTTAAATAACCCACCTCACAAGGTTGTTGTTCTAAGAAAAAGAAGAAGCATTACTGTATGCATGCCAGCTTGAGTTGTTCAAAGTAAGTGAGGAATATCAACATAATCATAATTGGTGATAGAATAGAAGGTGACAAACAGGGAGAAAGCAGAACTACTTAACTCGTTTTTTGCAACTGTCTTTATACAAAGGGAAAAAACAATCCAACCTATCAAAAACAGCACCACAAAAACAGATTAGGAACAGAAGTTAAAATAGGGAACAAAATGGTAAGTGAGCATCTGTCTACCCTAGACAAGTTCAAATCACCAGGACCAGATGGATTACACCCCAAGGTTCTGAAGGAACTGGCAGATGAGATCTCAGAACCACTGAACTACATCTTTCAAAGATCCTGGAGCACTGGGGAACTGCCAGAGGACTGGAAAAGAACTGATATAGTTCCCATCTTCAAAAAACAGGGGGGGGGTACTGTTTTAGGCTCAGTACTCTTCAATATATTCATCAATGATTTGGACGAGGGGAACTCATCAAATTTGCCGATGACATCAAGTTAGCAGGAATAGCCAACACTCCAGAAGATAGGCTTAAGATACAGAAGGATCTTGAGAGACTTGAACATTGGGTGCTATCTAACAAAATGAAATTCAATGGTGAAAAAAGTTAGGTAAGAAAAACAAAATGCACAACAGGTACAGTATATGTGGTACCTTGCTCAATTGTAGTAACTGTGAGAGGGATCTTGGAGTCCTAGTGGACAACCATTTAAATATGAGTCAGCAGTGTACAGCAGCAGCTGCCAAAAAAGCCAACACAGTTCTAGGCTGAATAAACAGAGGAATAGAATCAAGATCACATGAAGTGTTAATACCACTTTAAAATGCCTTGGTAAGAGGAGGAGGAGCTGATGTTGCGACGGAATGGTTGGAGGATTCCTGGGCTCCAGGATCGCCGCTGAAACCCTCACTGCTGGACGGTCCTTTTTGGACCTCACTGTCTTATTTTGACTGTGATAGTGGAAGGCACATCCTGATGATCCCAGGGACACTGCAAAGTCCCTGGTTGATCCGGGAGAAGCCTTTTTTCTAGCAGCGGGGTGGCAGCCATTGTAGCTGCTGAAGTTGGGACAGCTCAGGAAGTGACAGCTCAGGAAGTGACAGTGAGTCGATGCGGTGAGAGACTTTCAATTCAAATCAATATAAAGAACACCCTGAGGTTGAAGTGGTAATTAAATTGGAGATAAAAGGAAATTAAGCGGCGAAATTAAACTGGAGTTATTTTTTATTCTCAAACCATCTACATTGGTGGAGCTTTAAATTTTTGTTTTGTTTTTGACCGGGACTGGATTGAAAAGGATTGACAGAACTGAGAGTTTAACATTTGTAAGCCTTTGTGCCTTTTATTTAAAATATTTTCTTCTTGGGATTTAACTTTTCTTTTTCCTTTTTTGAAGATTGTTTTAATTTTTCATTTGCCATTTTAGTGACAAAGAACTTTCTATATTATATTAGCGGGGAAGATAGGAGTGTGTGAAATACTGCCATCTACTGGACAGGAAACTTTGTTATTCTTTTTTATTTAAGTAGCAAGTTGAAACAATTGTATTACATTGTTGCTACAACTCAAGGACTCTGAACTTTCTTGCTAATAAGATTGTTGGAAGCACATCTGAGAAACTATCAGTACTGGAACTATCTGTATTGTTTACTCAGGTGCTCTTCAGGGAACTATCAGGAGTCTGAGGCAGAATGAGATGCTTAGGCAGAAGTACTGCAGAAGAAATTGAAATCTTTTTCTATTTTCTATTACTTTTTTTTTTGTTCCTGTTAAGTGATAACTCTCTGTACGCTTCCCCTGCTTAAATATTTCTGATGGATTTTCTTTTCTTTGTTCATATATAACCGAGTTGGATTAAGGTGTACAAGTGCCTGAAGATTGATTTTCGATTTTTTTTTAAGGGTTGGCTTTTTGGCCTTCCTTTTTTTCCCCACTTTTTAATTTGACTTTCCTTTAGCTTATTTTTATTGACACTGGGATTAATTCAAGATTTTTTTTCTTTCTTCAAAGTGGATTAGGGTTTTGAAGAACTTGAAGAATTGTTTATTTTTCCTTTTTCCCTCTTTTTTTTCACATCCTTTACTTTTTTGGCTTTTTCTTTTCTTTTTTTTTTTTGTTTCGGCCTTTGGTGACTACTGGACAGAATGAGTAGAAAAGTAGCGACAGTTGGATCCTCCTCAACTATGCCCTCCTTGTTGCCTTCTGGAGGACAACAATCAATTCAGACGATGCTTCAGCAGGAGAAGGATAAAGAAAATGAGAGAAAGATACAATATTACAGATGATTCTTCAAACAGCCCAGAGGATAGAACAACAATTCAAGACAGATGAAAAAGTGGCGAATATACAGCAAATGATGTTGAAATATGAAGAGAGATTGCAAAAGCTTGAGAAAAATGAGGAGCAAAAGGAGGAAAAAATTAAAGATATAGATAATAGATGGGTAAAAGTTGAACGTGACAGGAGTGGACTAATTGGATGGGAGATGGACAGATCAGAATTTTATCTCAGATTTCAAAATGTAGAAGAAGAGAAAGGAGAGAATTTGGCAGAAATAATGATAAGAATGTTGGCTGAAGCATTAGAAATTACCAAGGAGATGATGATGGATGGCGTGGATGAGATATATCGAGTCTACACTAGGTATGCAATGCAACAAGTTACCACGAGAAGTGCATATAAGATTTACTAAGAAATCAATTAAAGCACAAATAATGCAGACTACCAGAGAAAAAGCATTTAAGTATAAGGAGAAAGAAATTGTGGTTCTGAAGCAAATACCAAGAAAAGTGAGAAAGATGAGGAGAGAATACCAATTTTTGACTAAAATATTACTTCAAAAAGGTGTGAACTACAGATGGCTGGTACCAGAAGGATTAGTGTTAACGTGGCAACTCCAAAGATATAGAATAGATACAATAGACAAAGCAAAAGCATTTTATGCAGAATTTTTCAAAGAGAAGGAAATGGAAATCCAAACGACAGTAGTGCCAGTAGAATTTCAAGAAGAGGAACTAGCAATGATTGAAAAAGCAGAAGGCGCAGTAGGAGGGATTGTGGAACACAAAGAACAGCGTGAATTAAGATCAACTAGAGCAGTAAAGCCTGCATATAAAGTATGACTATGGAAGAGAGAAAATTGATTTCAATAAATATAAATGGACTTAATTCAATTGTTAAAAGAAAGGTATTTCACAAATTAGAGAAATTAAAATTTGATATAATTTGCCTACAAGAAGTATGTCAGCTTTGGAAGCCATATTAGGCTGGAAGCTCCAATGCTGCCACCTTCTCATGTGTGGGAAAGTAGGAGAGGGGATTTAGGAGAGGGGGTTAGTAGACATAGCAACATTCTTCCTGTCGGTCAAGGTCAGAGCGATCCAGCATCTGGAGGAGTGGTCAGGGAACTGGATCAGGATGGAACGGATGTTGATTGGAGCATGTGATCGACTGGGTGGAAAAAGTGGATGGTTTTGAAAGCTTTGACTTACTGAAGGAAAACCCGGGGTTTTCAGATTCGGGTTTTCCCAGATGTGCCAGTTTGCCTATTCTAGTAAAGAGAACTTTGGAAAATGCTTGCTTCCGCATCTTTACTTGGAGTTGGGGGGTTTTCTGAAACACTGACAAAGTACATATTAAAAAGCAACATGAACAGTTTTGGGTACATTCAAAATTAGGGAAAATCTTCACATCATTTCCAGAATGTAAAAAAAGAGGAGTGGTTTTATACATTAGAAATGCAATACCAGCCCACCTATGGTGGGAAAGAGGCAAACCCTCAGCACATTTTATGAAACATCATTTGAGAGGAGTCCTGATTGAGAGTTGGATGGAAATTAGGAAAACATATTATAATAAGGTACCACTCTGGGTTTCACCTGTGGAAGCTGTGATCTATCCGATTCTGTAAAAAATTGACCTACAAAGAAATATTAGATAGGAATGGGAAGTTAAAAACAAAATTGTCACTTCAGGAACAAGGAGTGAACCTAGACTGGTGGATGTACATGTAAATTAGTAGTAAGTATATGAAAGATAGACAGAGATTTGGGATTAGCCGAGAGGTGCAGATTCTAGATAGGATACTATTGGGGGTGGATGAAAAGGTGTTATCTAGATGCTATAAATTCTTTATGGCTATGGAGGTAGGTGAGGAAGGTGCGAAGACTTCAGTTCATGCTTGGGAGAAGAATCTAGGTTATTCAATAGAGCCTGAGAGGTGGAACGAAATCTGGACTAAGAATATTAAATTAACCCGGTCAATAGGATATAAAGAAAATATATATAAAATGGCATATCGATGGCATTTACTGCCGGCTAGACTCGCCAAAATGTTCCCTGGAACACCCTCAGTCTGTTGGAAATGTGGTGTTAAAGAAGGCACATATTTCCACCAATGGTGGACCTGTAGAGAGGCAATGAAATTTTGGAAGAATATTCAGAAGTGGCTTAATGAGATGTTGGAGCAGCGTATACAATTGCATCCTGAGGTATTTTTATTAGGGATAAGACCCGAAAATGTTAATAGAACAAAATGGTACCTGCTGCTACATATAACAACAGCTGCAAGATTGGCATGGGCCCCAAT